TAAAAGTATAATAATAATAAATATCTTTAAAATAAATATCTTAAGAGGGGAAAAATTAATAATATAAAAACTTAAGATAAAAAGAGAGAAAATAAGAAGAATACTATAAAAAAAGAGAATTAATTATAAATAATACTTAATTTATAATTAATAAAAACTATATTTAAGTAAAAGCTAGCCTTATAATATAAGCTATAATTTAAGAATAAAAATTAATACTTATTAAAGTAACCTTAAAACTATAGCGCTATAATAGTTCAATCCTTATACATATATACCCTATAAATGAGCCCGACAATATCTCTGAATTTAGCGAGCTCAAGAAGTGACCTTCACGTCGTGCTATTGTTGCTACGGAGTAGTTAGTTACTAACTAGTTAGTACGCTATTCAAACAAGAAAAACGGAAAAAGGTTCATCTCTTTAATGTCTTATGTAAGCAACGTAGACAATGAGAGGTGCTAAACTCTGACCAAGCAGCAGCCCATCCACCGTCTCTTCTTCCCTTCTATTGTTGGATTCTTCTATTCCGAATAAACCCACTCCCGTCATACTACGACCTGTGCACTGCCACAATGGCGCGGAGAATTACCAAGCACGATCTAGCTGCAGCTACTCGGGTTGGGCCATTCTGTGGTGTTCATTTCTTAGCAGACGGCAAGACTATCGCCAAAACCGGGCAGAACACTCGTCTGGCTGAAGCCAACACCATGAGGTTCATTCGTGAGAATACGAATATCCCCGTCCCAGAGGTTTATGATGCATATACGGATGACGAAACCGGCCATGTATGTATCGTTGTGGAGAAAGTTGAGGGTCAAACGCTCCATGAGGCATGGCCTAGCTACAATGATGCAGATAAAGAGACAGTCGTCCAGCAGCTTCGAGGGTACTTTAACGAACTGAGACGCTTCAAGAGCCCTATTATTAGCTGTACTGATGGATCACAGTGCGATGATCAATACTTTGGTGATGATATCGGGGGCTACGGACCGTACTCTACGGAAGAAAGTTTCAACCACGGTTTAGTGCGGGCATGGACGAAGGGGCGGGAGGACGATGCCTTCATACGATTTCTCTGCAAAATTCTACTTCACAATATGCAGGGCCATGAGTTCGTTATGACTCATAATGACTTTGCGCCTCGTAATATTCTTGTCCGTGGATCTCAAGTTGTTGCTATTTTGGACTGGGAGCTCTCTGGTTATTTTCCCGAGTACTGGGAGTTTGCAAAGGCAATTTGGAGACCTAAGTGGGATAGTCCTTGGATGAAAGATGATCTTGTTGAGAGGGTACTTGACCCATATTATCAACAAGCTTCTCTAATTCTGAATACTTCATATACTATTTGGTAAAGCGGAGGTTAGTGGAGCAGAACTGTGACCCAATTCTTGGCTGCGACTGAGCTGCCTGAGCTGTGGCAAAGTGAAGTCCTGAGCAAGCCTGGCACGGCTGAGCTCAAGCTGAGCCGAGGGCAAATTTGTCACGCCGAGGTCACGTTGTGGAGGCACGGCCGACCCCTGAAGCTGACGATGGTTAGACAGAGGCGCGATACCAAGTTAGCTGAGGCCTCAGACCCAAGGCTCGCTTGCTCACCGCTGTCATGTATGAACGAGGGTTGTCTGTTCTAAAGGACTTGAAAGAAATATAATTTTTTTTATATTAAAAGATATTTTTTAATAGAAAATTACATCGTGACATGTCAGATATATTGGCTGAAGAACTAGCAAAAAAATAAACACCCCAAGCTAGTTTATCCTCATTCCAGAGGGATGCATAGAACTATGAAATGCAAAGGACAAGACAGCGTTCGGGAGCATTATTCCGGGTTCTGGTGTAGGTCTTCCTGTTTACACATTTGCCCCCGTGTTCTCTTGCAAATGCAAACTTAATCTTCTATTGCATTGAAGTCTGTGCCTGCCTATTGTCCCTATAAGAGAATCATGCTGGCTTCAGCTACAATGAATATGGGACGTCTTGCCAACCCGTTAGAGATATACGAATCAAAGGAAAACCCAAAAATACCTTGTATCTGGTAGTTCTACTCTCTAAAACTAAAAGCTAATCACTAGAATAGCAGGTTTTGATGTTAAACAAATCAGCGAAATGCAATATCTTACCTAGATGAGAGAGCAATGCAGGACCGAGCCTTATCTCCATCAAGTCCTTTGCAAATGAATCATTATTAGGTCTGTATGCCGGATGTCACCGCTATTCCTTCGCCAAACAGATCCTTTTGACATGGTATATTAATATATACTAAACAAATGAAGGTGCCAGATGCAGTCTGCCTAGTATTGTCCTAGCACCATGCGTAGCACTCATTGTTGACCCAAGCTGGAGCCTCGTCTGCGCCATCACCCTCTTCGCTTACCCACTGCGCAGACGCGATGCTGTCCTCCTGTCGCTCAACCCAGGTAGCGTCGAGGCTGCTCTGCTCGAGAAGTCTCTGCAGCAAAGGGGACGGCTCCCACAAGTTCACCTGGTCTAGACGCCACTCCGCTGCTTCCGCCTGGGCGGCCTCGAGTACGGCGTTGAGCGCCGCTGCCTGCTCCGCGTACGCATCTGTCGGCGGCGTCATTTGATCCCCGTGAGGCTTGTTGGCAGTTTCATCGCCTTCTACCACGAGACGGAGGATGTAAAGAACATTTCTCGCATCCTCTTCCGCCTCGTCGTGCTGATCTGGGTGCCTGTAGTAACGACGCACCCAGACGGCCCAAACCTGCTTTCCAGGGCTCCCGGAAATCGCACCTTTCGCCTGCGGTATTTTCCCAAAGATGTAGTTGGTGGAAAAGTCTTCCTTTCGGATATGCCATAGCATGTGGTCCAGGTCCGGCAGGACCACCACGCGTTTCCGCGCCGTGCTAGGTGTTGCCATGGCTCTACGGATCATGGCCTCGTCTCTGAGGCAGAGTGCTTCAAGTTCCGACTCGGGGACTATCCGTGCCATCGCCGGCTTCTTCATCTTGGCGGGCGGCAAGACAACGTGCCCGTTTCTGGGACTCGGCAGCCAGCCTAGCCCAGCATAGAATTGCCTCCCAATGTCCGAGTATAGGATGCTACCAATGCTCTTGCCGTAATCAGACTGCCATCCTGGCAGAACCCAGGCTAGCTCCTTCATATGACGAGTTGCGTAGCCGCGATGCCGGAGCCCCGGTGGGCAGAAGACGCTGGCGATGCCGTGAATAACACCCTCCTCGACGTTGCCATCGCTGTCGCTGGTGAGAGACCGCTTCCGAAAGCTCTCACATGAGCAGAAGATCTGCCGCTGATTGGGGGGCAGGTTTTTTTCCACGAGAGCCCACGTGGTCATGCCTCCGTCCTTGACAAGAGGTGCCGTGGCAAGGTACTCAGACTCGGCGACGTAGAGAGATGTGGTCAGCGAGTCCTTCCACGAGACCGCGGTGTTGGTCCAGATCTGGGTGCATTCTTCCGGCGTGGGTTGGGTAAGGTACAGATCAGGAGAGTCGGAGTTGGGGAGTCGGCTGGTTGACCCCATGACTGCTCGTAATGGCGTTTATGGAGTCGACGGATTCCAGCTGCCCTTGCGGCAGTTCTTCGAGGGCCTTCAATATAGGCTTCGAGTGAAGTTGGAGATAAAGTCACTTCTCGTGAAAGGTTAGGGTCGGTCTATTCACCCAGTATCCTCGAGGGGTCACACAAGCTGATAGAAGGTCGGGCAGGTAACCTGACACTAGACCCGCCTTTTACAAACGTGAGGCCTCTAATCCGCCCTTATAACCTTGTCATATCTTTGCGGTGTGAGTCACGGGCACAAACTATATTCTACTTCACTTAGTTAGTGGCTGAGGCTATCTTGAGATAGCCTTCGCCGGCGGGCGCTGCATCGGCAGCAAAACATTGGATAGGTGTAGCATGGGTGAGATGGCGGAGTATGAAGGACAACCCCATGGGGAAGCCAATTCCCGTAATTGCCACGCTAATAGAGAGAAGTATATTTGCCTCGAGCGACGTTGATAGGCCGCTTGCACACAATTATTAGCACAGATTATGCAGATATAACAGACCTTATAAACTACTAGCAGAAGTCCAAGGTAGCCAAGTTAGACAACGAGATGCTCTACCTCTGCACCAAGCCATTTTGCCCCTGGTGTTCCCCAAGCAACACCCACAAAGACTTGACCTAGTAGACTACAGTACACTGCTCTATCTAGGGCTTAATTAACAATGTTGAGAAGCAAAGGGAAGGCTAATTGAATAAGAACTGTCGCAGTCCCGGGCTCGTAATACGGCAATGAAGCTGGTGTGCGAGATTCCTGCATAGTGGGGAGTGGTTAAGGAGGTTAAGGTATTATCAAGAGCGAAACTTTCCTTGGTAATGCAAATAGACAGTGGCGTTCTCTAATAGAAGAGATACGCGACATCCGGAAGCAGGTCGTCCTCGAGAATTATGAAGAACGAAGTGTTCTCACTTCTATGCATAGTGGAAGCGGCCTTGGAGATATTTCCGACGACATCTGTCAACATCTGACAAGAGTTTTGAAGCAGTGCTGGAATCGTGACCCGTTAACAAGACCCAACGGCCGTGCAAGTCACCAAGTTGCCCCAGGACGCCTAGCTGTTCGTTAACAGGACCCGGTCCAAGGTCTCAATCAACTCATGTCTAATAGTGATCCTATTGGAAAGGCAAAAACCAGGGCACTATATCCTAATCGTTTTTGCCGTCGGAGAATGCAAGTTCTCACTGGTGAATGCATTGTGACCATGCCAATTCTACAAGTCAACCTCTCAACAAGCCACCGCTCGGCTCGGTCGCCAACTAAACACGGCACCGTTTGGCTCCCCGTCTTGTCACGGGAAAGCGCAGACAATGCATAACTACAGGTTGATGTATTCAAGGCTGTGGAGAGGCAGATAGCCCCCGACCGATGGGAAATAACATTCAAGGCAGAGGCAAGTCAACATGTCCATGACGATGGACGGTTGCACACCCAATGGAGGAGACCACGATGCAACTACGGCAGAGCCTCGGGGTCATTACATCATAGACCAGGATAGGGATCCTGGAATTCAGGTTTCTGCATCGTCCCCCGCATCAAACTTCAGCCAGATCTGTGGCTCCAAAGTCTTCCGCGTTCCCATTTATGAACCTTCGGCTTAGTTTTGCCGCTGGGGCCGTCGCCGCCACTCTGTTAACCTTGTGAAACCCGACCTTCCTCGTAGCAGTAGTAATGATGCTCTCGGAAATAAGTGTCTTGGACAAGCCAACAGTACCTTCGACAGACGTCAGGTCAACAATGTGATTCTGCCGTGCAACATGCCGCATTGGGATATGACGTAACTTTATGACGAAACGGCCTCCAGTGTGGCTACATTACACGGTTTGGGCAGAGTTTGCATCTCGTCAATCCAATCCAATCCCTGCAACGCTCGCATTGAGTTTGCAAAATGTAAAGGGACTAACTTATGGCTGCCCGGCTGTCTGTGATCTCCAGAAATCCTATAGCCGTAGGATTCAAGGTGGCTCTCATCCAGCGAGGAATACGTCGGGCAGAAAGGTCGCACGTACAAGCTGCCGGCGCTCAAGTCTTATAAAAACCCTACTTCCACCCGGTCCACCAACTTTTTTTGCCTATCCATATGATGATATTTTTTTGGTCAACCTTAATTATATCAAGCTGAACAAATACAACATGAAGCTCAATCTCACGTACTCGTTTATTCTGGCCAGCGCGGCTCTTGTGAGTCGGGGTCTTGGGCAAGCGCAAGCCGTGGGTTGTCTGTCCCATGTAAGTCTTGAATCTGGATCAGACAAAATTGGTAATATTAAGCTTATAGCCGTGGATTTTAGGGCTCTAAATGTGGAGGATGGTTCGATTCTGACTGTTGCGCGCCGTATCAGTGCCTCAACTCTATCTGCAATGTAAAGCTGTCCCCAGGGTGCATAAGCATGAAATTACTCGTGGTATGCTAACATGGGAGGAAATTCTAGCCGAGGTAACTTGACGTCTCAATGCTGCACACTCGTGGCCATGTCTGCTTGTGTGGGAGAAAGCTTTCGGTCGTTGCATGGAGAGTTCTCAACTAGAGTTTAAGCTCGGCCGGTCGTTAGCGGGTTAATTACAACAAGGTTTAGCAAAATCATAGTACAGCTTTTTCTGTATCAAAATGTCTCATATGCAACAAGCTGATCCGAACTCTGTATTCAGCTATTTTCCACGTGTAATTTGATTGCTTTGCTGAACAAGTACTCCGTATGCCAATACAGGAGACCGGCCAATGGGGGTGTCATTGCCTTGAGGAGCGAACTCGCGCGGGAAGAACAGCTGCAGGACTCGTCCTATGTGGTAGCGGCATCTAAACAATAATTCAGAAGTGTTCTTGGTACCTTGCCTAATACACTATTATATATGGCTCATGGTCTAAAGAGCGTAGCAATAAATAGTTGGTAATGACTTTAACCACCAATCCTGTCAACGGAAATATAAGGGGGAAAGTTGCGCGCGTCCTTTTTGTGCCAAATACAAGTTCATAGCATAGAAACATATTGTATATATACGCTAATAATTTCAAGCGTTGTTATTTAAATTCTACAAAATGGCCAAATTCCTCGATTGTCTTCTATGCCCAAGCGATAAAGCACAAACAAATACACGGTTAAAAAGGATAAATTGCCATTAGCCTTTACATAGCCAGATAGCTTAGGCTGGCTAATTATTGCCTTGCGATTTACTTTTCCAGGTCAAGTCTATGTGTTGACATTGACACAGAGATAACGCTCCAGGCTCTTGAACAAGACGCGCCCTTTCCTGCAATATATATCTGTTTCAAACTTATGAGTACTAGGATGGCAAGACAAACTCGAGCTGAGGCAGGCTTTATGACACAGTTTAGCCTCGCACAATCCTACCAATATCAGGCTTCCAGGGTCCTGACACTGTTCGTTGGCACATGGGCCGCTTCGCAAAGCACGGGGGTGTCGTAAGAGAGGCTTTGGTTGGGCAGACAGGACAAGGTTTACCTCCATCCTAGGCCACTGTGAGGTCAGCAATTACGAGCACCCGCCGCTTTTATTTGAGGGACACGAGCTGATTGCCGAAATCGAAATGGCGGAGAGGGTGGGCTTGTGATGCCGCCCGAATTGGTCTATAAGTAAGCAAGTATTAGGGCGTCGAGAACGCATAATGCATGCTGCCATGCTGTATGCGTCAGCCTCCTCTATGAGAACACTTGGGGGCGAGACACTGGGGTATATTTACTTCTGCACACGAGGCAGGCAACGGATGTCTCGGTTGGTGAGGATCTTTTTATTGGCTCATGTTAAACGACTGCAACTGGTATCCGGTTTGTGACTATGAAAGATGAAAGCATCACGCCAGTCCTAGAGTAATGTAGTGATCAATATTTCCCGCAACAGGGCATTGTGCTCACGAGACCTCTCGGCATCGCGTATCCCCGCTGTCAGTTTCCGAGTTGCCGATCCTCTGCGCCAAAACATCACCAAATAATTGCATATTGGTGTCATGGCCCCGCCGGTGGTGTTGAGGTTTGATCCATGAACATCAAAGAATGAACGCGAACTCTGGCTAAGATATGGAAACAAGGTATTACATAGACTATTATTGACAGCCTCTGTTGATCAATGCTCAATGGAAGCAAACTCATCATTATCTAATGTTCACACAATAAAGCTCACGAAGCCGTATTGTGATTCGAAACTTGCGGAATATCGGACTTTTGCCAACGGCTAACAGACGGCAACGATACACAACCAGATATTTTGAACGTGGCGCAAGGTAGCAATCCGATGCAGGTTTCAGTTTGCCGTCAGCAATCCCCCGGCCAAGCATATTCACTCAGGATACGTCGTACGATATATTATCAGCCACAAGAGTCCACCAATAATCTGTTATATTCCACAATTTACTCGGCAGTAAAGTCAAAAGAATTGCCCCTATACGTGGACGCAGACATTTTGCCGAAAAGAGTTAAACGGTGGCCCCCCCAACATGGCATGATTACATCCTTTGAGGCCATGTTTACGTTTACATATGCCGCGGCAGGCATCCAAGCGCTTGTCCGGTTCTCTCGGATTGCTCGTGCAACCCACCCCGGTTCCCCATGCTTGCCGAGTGTCAGCAAGCTGTAAGACATTGGAACCACGGGCCTGTCAATGGCCACATGGTCCCAGCTGCGTTGAAGCATGCATAGGACTCAACCTCCATTTGTCACCGTCAGCTAAATGAGCTGGCTGAGTGTGGCTAGCTGAAAGGGAGGCCTGATGAATACCCGAGCATGCGTGCCGTTTGTTACTCCGAATAACGCACGGGTTGTCGGGCGTATTGTCTCTTTACTCTGCTCTCAGCTCGCCCATTCCCGGTCCAGCTGCCATTTACAGCCTGCCAATGTCTCAGCAAGCAGAGATATCCAGTGTACACTGGAAATCTAAATGGCTATGCGGCACAGCGGAGCTGTCAATTCTCAAGGATCAAGATCATCAGCTGCCGTGGTAGAGTATGATTTCCAGATCTGATTGGCTTCGACTTCAAGCGCAATGGCAATCGTTCAGAAAAGGCCCCCGCCTCGAATATTATTGATACCTGATCTGTCACGTATCGTTGGGATGAACAGGTTAAGCTAAGGCTATAAAAGACATGTCAGCCTTCCGATTGATGCACTTGAATGGATATTTTATTTCCCACAACGCTTTCTAGGACTTCATTCTTGTCCTCCTACTTGGTTTTGACAGTATTCTCGCTGACCAGATCATCTCGTCATGAGGTATCTGCAGCTTGGTCTGGCTTTTGCCGGATTTCAATGCCTGCTCGTTGGGGCCGTCGAGGTTGTCCAGGTTGGCCCCAATGCCAAAATTGACCACGGTAAAATCAAATATACGAGACCTGGCTCGGACTTTGAGGAGAGCTTCGGTTGCGCCGAGGGCAGCGGCAAAGGCCTTGCTTTTAGCCGTGACAAACAGTACGTTGCTTGCTGTGCTCCTGCTCAGCATCTTGGGGGCAGCCAGTCCACTCAGTTCATTTGCTGTGGCGAAGGGCATGACGTTTCTGGCTCAGGTAGCCATGGCTATCACTGCTGCCCAACTGGGCAGAGTTATGACGGCAGAATATGTCACGAAAGCCATGGCCAGGGAGGTAATCGTGACCATTCCCACGACAGCCATACCCAACCACAGACGATACTAACTAGAGGCGGAGGCGGCGGCGGAGGGGGGGGAGGAGGAGGAGGAGGAGGAGGAGGAGGCGGTGATAAGAATAGCGGCGGTGGTGGTGGTGGTGGTGGAGGAGGAGGAGGAGGCGGAAATAAGAGCGGCGGCGGTGGAGGGGGAGGTGGTGGTGGTGGTCATAACGGCGGAGGCGGCGGTGGAGGAGGAGGAGGAGGTGATGATGGAGATAAAGGAAACGGTAATGGCGGAAATCCCCCAGGAAAGGGATAGAATCCCCCTGAGAAGAGAAACCCAGGCTGGTGCCAGAGTCCAGAAACCTGCAGCTCGGGAGTCGATACAGGTATGCCACAGCTGGACAACTCGTCTCCATTTTAGGATAATCAAAGAGACATCCATATTGAGTTTCTTTCTCTAACATATGTATAGGAAAATGCTATCTTTTCAAGATGGAAAACGGGCAGTATCTCGGGTATGATAGCAGGCCTGCCGTCAACGCCTACACGGCCGGCCAAGACAGTGCCACTCACCACATGGGAAAGTTCCGCTTCTGCAAAGATCAAAACTGCACCAAAGGCTGCAGCGTGAACCCGGGAGAGGGCTTCGCTATTCTCGATATTCACGGGGCATCCAACACCGGAGCTGGGTCCAACACCTTCCTCGACGCCAAGCCCAACGGTGGCCACATCGGCAAGACGCCAGACTATAATACGGCCGGGCTCTTCACCATCACCAAATGGACATGGGGCAAGTACTGTCTCGGTGGCTTTGATAACAAGGGAGTTGGGCCAACATGCCCGAGCCTGGAGCCGGCGCTCACATTCAACACGCTCGACCCGCAGTCGTGTCTACCCCTGGAACTTGTCGAAGTGCCATGCGACATCCGTGACCGGAAAAACAACTGTCGATGGAAGAAGACTCCGGGGAGCTGCGGTCCCGGAGACAGCCGTCACTGTCATTGTAACAAGTCGTAGACTATCTGACCAAGATGGTCCTGTCCTGGCACAGATGTAAATGCCCGATCGAGGTGTGGCCATGTCTCACGTTGATATCTTTCATAGCTCAGCTGTATTTCGTCACTCGGGCAGTAACCTCTCTTGTGCCTTTGGAGAAAGGGTGTAATGATCATAGCTGGCTATAGTTTGGAATACATTTATTTATCTAGCCTTTTGTTTTTCGCTCTTATTATATCAGGAGCTCGATCGTATCCTTCCATAGCATGCTTCCAGATTGTCTTGGCGTTGAGTAACACATTCGACTGATGTAGATACAAAGTTACAAGCGCGCAGCGGTGCCACGCCATGTCTTTGCTATGGATCACAGCTTTTAGCGCACTATGATACGTGTATTTTACTATATGACGTAGTTTATTACACATTTTTTTGGTTTAGTGCACTTGACAGTCTGCTAGGTGACTTGAACAGACCTTTCGCCAAACCCTAAAAAGGCTACACGTTATATGTGTAATAGTTATAAATACTCTCCACGCCAAATACTGATAGATGGTTGGTTTTATTCCTCTAAAAATACACTACAACACAATCTTACCGCTTTCATACACGCAGCTTCACTACTCTTTTTTACAACTGAATAAATTACTACCAAGAGATACTATGGCTATAATGAGCATATTACCCATCATTCTTTTAATTATACGAGGTTTTTGTTTCTATATTCTCCCTTTAATAACCTGGATATATCATCAACATATGTCATCCCTTCTCCTGCCGGTATCCTCACCTCTTGGGTTGCCCTCTTGGCTCCTGCCGCCGTTAATATGTTTTACCCTGCGTTCCTGCCTCCTGTTATTATCATCACCGGGAAACCACGGCAGTCCATCTACGTGGCTACTCGCCATTTCTGGGGAATTGTTTTTTTCTTTTCTTCTTCTCTGTCATTCCCTAAAAATGAACATGTGAGTACATGACGTGGTCATCTTATATGATTGGCTTTCTGGCTAACACGATGTGGTGTTATAAACTCCGTCTTACAGTTTTACTCGGTTCTTCTTGTCGTGGGCTTCGTGGGATTGATTGCCTTGCACGTCAGGGCAACCGTCCTCCGCCCTCCTGGCGAAAGGTGGCAATTCTTTCGCGACAAATTCTTTCGGGGGTTTGTCGCGCCATACCTTGAGCTAGTAGCGGCGTTGACGTACGGTGCAGTCTTGCGCGTCAAGGCAACCGTTGGGAGTGAGTACGCCAGCATGACTAGGCACCTCAAGGAGGGCTAGACTGCGAGTACCGTCTCTGTCAAGGTCGTCCCACGTCAAAAAAATTTCGTCAAGCCCCGACGCCCGGTTACTTGGGCTCCAGCGGGGGACCCCCCTTCTAATTCATGTGGCCTTGCCGATTCTTTGTGGACAGCCAAAGCAATCTATTCTCCCTGGAACTTCATTCCGTCTCCCTTGGAAGTCAGCGTCAGGGTCATTAATGTCATGACAGGTTGGCTATCCTGATGTTTTGGTTAGAATCGACAGCACGAGATCGACAGCACGACAACAGAGCCTCTGAGCCCTATCGATTCGTATACTGGTCAACTTGACGGGCATTGTACACGCGAAGCCATGCCACGAGGCCGAGAAAGCCAAAAGGGCTTACTTATAAGCTGGATATCAGGGGTACTGTCAGACCGAGGTCACACACTCTCGACGTACTGGCCGAAGTGGCCGCCATAACAGACGACCTCCAGTGCCATAATGCTGTCAAGTTCGTCACAGATGCATGGCTGGAAAGGCTTCAGAGAGCCCACCCGACAGAGATATGCCCAGACCTTTATAAATGGATTCTCATCGCGTCAGTCTTTGGCCAGCCCGACTGTTTCCGATCGACAACTCGCGTGGCAATCATGCAGTGCACTGGCTCCCTGTCTCCAGGCGACACTCCTATTCATCCTTCAATTATTGGTAGCGTCTATTCCTCCTCACTCACATGGTATATTCTGGGCTAATATGCGGTAGAATCCATTGAGTCAAACAGGAGGGATCTCCTGGGTGACTTGATCGCGGAAGCAGAGCAAGTCGTACAAGGCCTGAGCCGAGGCAATGGACCTTGCACATTCGATTGCCGGTCCATGTTGCTTGGAGCCTTGATGCAAGAGATGCGCCGTGCCGGATAGTATTCGCCAGGTCCGTCTGTACCATTGCCGAGCATCTCTCTAAGCACTGCACTGCATCGCATGCGCAGCTTTCGGTCGCCATCAGTCAACACGCCGCAGTCCGATGTTGACGATACTAAAGATGGGTACGAAAGCTACGAGCCCAATTTGGTATGGGTACCGGAACAAGTCCGTCCTGACGATAAGTTTGGATATAGCCACTCGAGGAAATATGAAAAGCATCGTAGAGCTGTCTCGGTGTCCCGTGGCAGGGAAAAAGAACTATACGGTGGTCCAACAACCCTATATTTGCACGAGTGTTCTTTGCAAAGGCTCCTTGAGCCACTCATACACGCAATGGAGGGGAAAATCACTGGACTTGATGTCAAGGACTTCTCCAGAGTGTGTCAGACAAGAAAATCCGTGTAGCTATGGGTAGCAGCTCACTTTCCTGTCTATAATAGTCGTGGCTCAATTGTGTTGATAGCGATGCTCCCGTATTTCTTGGGCTTGTTAATCTTAAAGAGATTCTCCATCTTGTCAACTCGAAAGACGTCGATTTAAGTTGGTGTGCATCTTTTGCAACAAGACCATACTATGGATCGGATAACACCGCGTCTGCAAGGGACATGCATTTCGTAAGCTGCAGTACGTCGCGTTCTGTCTTTGAGCCGTGTAGATGAGACAAATCCCGCCCTACGTACGTTGCGCAGAAGCCGATTTTGGAGGTCTTTTCTGTCCCTCAATGACTCTGGCCCAAAACAGCGAGAGATTTTTGAGATTGGTGGAAACCCACCACAGCAGAGGCCCATTTCAACCGGGAGTCGGTTAAAGTCACAAAAGCGCGGGAGAGAGAAATGATCAAATGTTCAGGCTATTGTTTGTGAGGGCTTTGATCGAGTGGTTTATTTCGCTTCAGAGTCGACAACGTTGGACACCTCATTTTGCTGATTTCCCCCTCTCCCAGGCTTGTGGTACACTGGTAGCAATGAATCAAGCTCGTGCGTCGTAACATGTCCAATGATTGTATCCGATTGAGTTGAACAGTGATATGGAATATTATACCAAAGACCAGGGATATAGCAAACAACTTGTAAAGAAAATAAGCTCTTTATAGGGTAGGCCCAAGGAAGTGCTTGAGGCATCCCTCACCGCCTAATTCTGCCTGACAAATATCGGCCCCACTATTTCTTTCGTCTTGACTCTTGCCTCCAAACCTGCAAAGCAAAAACACCAAGTCGAGGCAAACATCGCAAATCGATCCAAAAATCCTATACATCTCACACCGCCAACATGCCTCGCGAAGAATACCAAGTCCCTTCCGCCGGCGCTACCGCCGGCGCTACCGCCGTCCGCGGCAACACCCGCGACGACCACGCCTCCCGCTCAGTCATGACATATCTCTGCGGTGACTGCGGATCGAGCGTCTCTCTGGGCAAAGATGCGCTGGTTGCCTGTCCTCACTGCGCGGGGAGAGTGCTGTACAAGGAGAGGACCAAGAGGTTTGTTCTCTGCTCCCTACTTGTTCTCTGCTCCCTACTTTTTCCTTGTATATTTTTGGATACAGATGCTGACAACTTCGCAGAATGGTGCAGTTCGAGGCTCGATAGACGGGCTGTCCACAGCCGATGAGGGGAGGATTGGAATCATGACTTATGGTGTTTGGAGTTATGGGTAGAACATAGGCATCGCGAGTGCACGAGGCAAACAAAAATGCAGTGGTATTAAATCTCTTGAGGTAACATCTAGCCGTACCTAAACTCCGTGACCCTTGTTTTTGCTTGGAAATCATTCGTAGCCTCGGGCGAGCCCAAAACTACCGTTGCTTATGGAGATATTTGGCAAAACTGGCATCTGCCAAGATTGAATCCTCATTATCGCCCATCGCGGCCTGGTAGCGCTCCTGCAGGCCTTGTTTGGCTGCTTCTTCGTCTTCGTCCGAGTCGTCATCGTCGCTTGCCACCTCGACGTCAGAGTCGTTTCCTGCGCCGCTCTGTTGAGCCGCTTGACCGGGAGCAACAGACATGTCGGACATCATCTTGTCCAACTCCTTGTCGCGCGACTTCTTCTTTTGCTTCTCCCTTTCTTGGCGCCGCTTCTCTAGCTCCGGCAGGTAATCTCGTAGGAACTCCTGCTTCTTCTCCTCCACCGCCTCAAAGAACTCATCCACGCCAGTGCCCACCCTTGAACTCACGCCAACCATGCTCAAGTGTGAATAAAATTCTTCCAACATCAAACTCATGGAGTTGAGCAAACTGCCCATGTATCCGCTTCCTCCGTGCCCACCGCCCTCAACCCCGCCCAGCGCATCCGACTCTTCATCCTGGCGAAGCGCTTCCTGGAACGCCTCGAAATCTGTCATCCATTCCTTTGCAAAAGATGCGTCCTTCACATCCGTCTTGTTGAACACCAGAATCATGGGAAGTTTCGTCTTGTATAGGATCGAACAGGCGTATAGCATGTTGGACATGAATGTAGATGTGGACGCTGTTCTCGGCGTGTCGATAACATAAGCGATCACGGTTGGGAACGAAGACGCTAGAGACTCTAGCAGAATGGTTCCCGATGCAGACCACACAAAGGCTTCGATTTGTCCGGGAGTGTCGACAATGATTCTGTCGATGGGTTTGCGGTCGGGATTTTCCGCATCAGGCTTCGCTCTCTTCTCTAATAGGTTCACAATCTGGTCGACCTTGGTGGCGAACAAGTTGAGAGACGTGAGAATGCCTCCATTGGGACCAAGGTTGTACTGCTTCATGACTTCTTCGTAGTTGACCGAGTCGCGGATGTCAATGTTTGGGTCGAAGGGGACATTGAGCACTGCCGGGTCGAGGTTGATGACATAGGGAGGCTGGTTCTTGCCGTGAAGATGCGCGTTAATGCGCTGCATAAAGGTCGTTTTGCCAGAGCCTGCGACGTCAAGTTAGGGCGAGCTACTCGATGAAATACCCATGTAGGCAGGGCGAGGCTTTGATAATGTACCTGCCATGCCGACGCACACGATCGCGACGGGCGGCGATGCATCGTCTGAGGATGCCATGGCGGAGCGGGCTCTGATATTACTGCGGCTGGAGGGCAGATGGGATGATTCGCAGTGGCAAGGTTCCAACAACTACTATTGATGGAGGTTTGGAAAAAACGTTTAATAGTTGGGGCTAATGCTCGATGCTCGATGTTCCGACTTGGAAATTTTGACGACGTCGGAGCTGTCAACTTGCCCCGCACCCACTGAGCACCAGACCCCGCCACTACCTGACCGACCATCAAAACTACCAAGTTGACGTCTCAGTAGGACACAGGTGAGAGGTGCAGACTCTGGAAAGTTTCCCATGAACACCCCCAGCGATCTCCTCACTCTACCTTAATTTCTGTCTCCATTTACCCAAAACGTCTCACATATACACGCATGCGACGGTATGTAACCTACGTACGGAGGAGTCATGGAAGTTAGTATTGAATCCGTCGACCACCTCCAATCGACGCCTCTATGCACAGCAAGCCAGGGTAGTAACCCTTGAGCTACAGGTGCCTGCAAGAAAAGAGAAACATTACATTACCCCTATCTGTTCATCCTTTGATTGCTGTCCGCTTTTTCCATCGTCCGCGTATTGGCATGTCTAACCATCAGTTCCGCTGCTGCGAAACGTAGCACATAACGCCGCGTAGTGGTGCGTCAAGTCTAGCACGGTCTGAGGCAGACTGGTCGCCTGAATGATGCTCCTGATCTTGACTGCACCTTCATCTTCGATCAGAGTCCGAATGGTGTACAGAAGTTCCGGGCTGAACTCGCTGTACCATCGGTACTGCCACGTTACCAACCTGATCACTGCTGCTACAGTATCCCTTGTGTTCTTAGTCTTTTGAAAAACCCTCAATACACCAGCAAGGGACTTGGGGCTGAATCGCAGCGATAGACACGCTCGGTAGGCCTCGACAGCTTCGTCAAAATGCTGCAGACGTTCAGCAAGGGCCCCGAGAATTTCCCACTCTTCTGCCGACTTCTTATACTGCATTTGCTGCGCCCGATATTGGGCCATTTGTGTCCGCCAGATAGTGTACACACGCAGGTCTTCATACAGAACCATAAACAGGCTGTCCAGCCATCTCTCACAGAGACGCTTGGTGTTAAGCTTTGATAAGTGTTCTTCATCTGGAGTGCTCTGCGCCGAGATGTTACCAAGAATGTTTATCTTGTGGTACGCATGGCATAACAGTACAACTTACGTGGTCGGAATCAGCCTTTACTTCTTTTGGATCAATGGCGTGAGGCGGCTTCTCGACGCTGTTGGTCTCGCCGTTGGTTGCCGTCTTTTCTGCAGGATCTCTGTCGCTCGGGTTTTCGGCATCTTCATTCTCCGATTCACCTTCACCATTCGTTATCGGATCGGGAGCACCTCGGAGACCATCTATGCTGGCGTTTCGTTTCGAGGGACCAGAGTGTGATGATTCTTGTTTCTCCGTTCGATACTCATCCTCCATGACAAACACATTGCTGCGAATCTTGAGCAACTGATCCCAGCCAATCTTGGCGGTCATTTCTGTTAGAATGTTATATGCCTGCTTGAAAGTGCCACGGTAACCCGCAGCTCGAAGCCCCAGCAAACTGGCGTCGACTTGTTCTGAAAATCTGGATTCCGGTTCGCTGTCGATCTCGTCGAGTCGCGTCTCGGGGAGCGTTGGCAGATGAACATCTCTCGGTTCGGGCATGATAGGAGTATCCTTGTCCTGATAAGTAAACATTGGGCATGAGTTTAACGTGGTAAGCGCGTTCTCCCAGTCCTCCATAGCAACATAGACCTGTGCCAGCCGTGCCCATGTGCCAAACTCGCTTGGAGCGGCGACAGTACTGCGATCTGCACAGCCAAGTGCCATCTTTAATCTCTCTTCTCTCGCTTCCGGCGTTTCGGCCTTCTGCGCCTTCTTGAGCAAAAATTCCGCTTGTGTGTCGAGCATGACATAGTCCATGGGTGTCTCCTGTAAGGACTGATACAAGTTCTTGACGCCGGAAACCTCCTCGTTACCCATGAACATGACTTTTGACAACAATGATGACACCTCAATGCTCTGTGTGCGAAGCTTCTCGAATAGGTTGATGCCCGATGCGTATCGGCCGGTAGTTTCAAGGTATTTGAGAAGTCCCGTGGTGAGGTGGTTAGAAACATTTGTGGGAACTTGAACAACGGAATCGGATCCCAGCTGCCAGCCTCTGAAAAAAAGTTGCTCTGCTGCATTGAGAAAGCGTTGCTCTGTCTCGGTGTTGGTCACGGGGTTGAATCTCCTGACGCCCATGATCTTTCGAATCGTGTCACCACTGCCGTCATCCGCGTAGGAGTATGCTCTCAAGACGCTGCAGAGATATGTCTCCAGCCACAGCTCGTCTGAGGCCTTTCGCTTCTCTCCTCGCTCATCGACGCAATAGCTCTCGACGGTACCGGGAATGGACACGTGCACGCGCATGTCCAGCCGAGAAAACGCATTGTAGCAGCTATAATGATACAAATATATAAGTTGCTACGTCATTTCGTAACTCATAACAACCTGAACGCACCAGTATACGCCCTCTACAATCTTTGAAGTGGCATTCGGGCCGTTGTCCTTGTACGTGAGCGTGTTGATGTAGGCTGCAAGACTGGCGGACGAGGAAGCATCGACACCGGTGACATGATGGTAAATACCAGTCTAGACATGTTAGTTATTAACCACAAGAAACCTCTTCAGCTACATACCTGCTTTCCTGAATTGCGCACACCTTGCTTCAGGAGATGTACCAGGTCAGGAGGCCCAAGCTCTCGCAAGGCAACCAGGGATTCGGTTCTGGCATCAATCGACTCGTGGAGGACCTCCTCAGTAACCCTACAGTCATATTAGAATCCGTCATGGTCAATGTATTATATTCTATTCCATACTCTGGCACAGCCGGGGCGACCATGGCTGCGGGAAGCTCGTGAGAGCTCGATTTCAGGGACTACCGCTGGCTTCTGGGCGGGAGTGGTCAAGGTGGCTGACAGACCGGCGGCTGCGTGTCTGCCCGGTTAACGTCGACACCGAAGTCGTATTTGAGTGCAGTCGATCGTCGCCGTTGAAATGCGCGAGCCTGAAGCGACTTGCAGGGCGTGAGCTGGGGAAAGGGACGAGAGCGGGATGATGCAGGATATGCAGTGTGTCCAGTCGCTCGAAGCTCTGAGCCGCCAATCTGCCCACACTTGTGCATTCAAGCCACATCCCCATCCAATTCAAGCCGCTGGCCCTGAACCGCGCCACTATTACACGTGGTTTGACCAAACCAAGAGGGGGCTCTATGCCGGCTAGCCAGCCAATCACGCCTGGTCTCCAGAAAACGCCACACGCTAGTTAAGTGACAGGGATACGTAAGTAATTGAGCTGGCGCGACGCGATGGCAAGCAATTAAGCATTCCGCCATCTAGCTTGGATGCTTCACCCCGACTGCTATCACAACCCTAACAATGACTCCTCTGTGCCACAACTGAGGCCATTTTAAACAACAGCATCATCATAGTCATCTGAAAAATACCGCTACAATGGTAAACTGATTTGAAAGTGTATGCAACGTAACCTCTAGCTAATGCCACTCTTTCAGCCCGCCTTCCAGGCGATCAATCTTGAACCCGAAGAAAACGAAGATGAGCAAATCGACACAACGAAGGAACTGCATGTATGCCGCACAACTCCCTCACAATAAGTCAGCCATGTACTGATGCATATTCTAGGTCGACAAAGCTCTGCAACGGTTCCAGGCTGCCCTCAAACTCCATGCTCAGGGCCTGAAGTCGCGAGACGCCGCCGATGCTGCATATCAAGAACTCTTCAAATGCGAGATATTCGAATACCGCGAAGCAAAGACCGACTATGAACGGGCGGAGCGACAAGCAGATGGCCGACCTGAAGCTTCTTCTGTCGACTCCTTCTCATCCGCCTTGGGCATGGATGCCGGCGGAGCGGATGGAGTTGCAGCAAGTCTCGCCCAAGCCTTGTACATGTCTTACAAGAACTATGGTCAGTTTTTCTTGGACAAGTTGAAAGACAAGTGTGAGGCAGACCCAGAATGGGATAAGAAATTACGCATCAAGTACTGGGCCGACAATAGTGACAAAGTCCTTGACAACTGGACAGCCGCCCTTGACCAAGACCCGTCAGATCCAGAACTCTGGAGAAAGATGGCCCGTTTCGCAAGTTCTTTGAATTCTGGTCGTGTGAAGCGATATTGCCTGGAGTCCGCGATCGAACTTGACGATGATCCTGCTATCATGGAGGTTAATCCTCCGTCTCTCGCAGAAGGCTTTGCTGGCCAACAACTAAAGGAGTACCTACAAGTTCTTGATGATGACATGGCGCTATCGCATCCCATTATGGCGCCTTGGTTGAAGAGAGAAATGCCTGCTCTGTTAAAACGTCACTTAGACCCGATTCCGTTTCTCCCTGACCCCGTTGCCGTTTTGACCCCCCCACCTTCCAGCCCCGAAGTCGACGAGGCTGCCGACGATCCAAATAGTGAACAGGCCCTCTCCCCCACGCATGCGACCGAATCTTCGATCGAGCCGGTCAAGTCTTGGTCAGAGCTCGGAATAGAACTGATGAAGTGTATTCAAGATACCAGGGGAGCTTTGAAAGCTTGCCGCTCAGTTCTGGATGCGGCGCAAGAGGATGTCAAGATGGTTACGGAAGCTGAAGTTGAACCTGTAATTGCACCCGAGCCGGAACCAGAGGCAGAGAAAAAACCAGAGCCCAAACCCAAGACTGAAGAAAAAGTCAAACCGACTGTTGAAGGACCCCCCGTAGTACGAAGATCAACTAGACAAGGCTCTAGAGCCAACACCAAGGCTAAACCGGACACAAAAGAGGACAATCCTCCTAACCCGCCAAAAGAAGTGCCGAAGGAGCTTCCAAAGGAACCTGACCAAGATCCGAAAGAAAGATCTACCTCAGTTTCGACGCGAAAGCGGTCCCAATCGGTCGCTGGGTTGCCCGAGGGCGTGGATGATGAAAACGCGGCCGAGAAGAGGAGCAAACGCGTCCGCCGACGCACAGAAACAGCTCTTACTGAAGAAACAACTGATCCCGTCACCTTAATCTCGGCACAAATTCAGCCATATCAAGAAGCAGACCGCACTTTGTTCCAACTCACAAAGAATATACTAGAAAATATTGGGGTAGAGGATCGCCTGACTTTAGATTGCCTGCAGGAACTTTTCGACTCTTGCTCCACCGAAAGCAGACCTCCAAAGCTGAGCCACAAATGCGCGACAGATCTACACGGAGTCATCTCAACTTTCAATGAAGACGTGGCGCAAGTTCTCCTGAACAAGAACGAGCAGGCCACGCTGGGCTTATCATCTTTTCTCGAACATGCCAAATCGGGCTCGCAGGACCATGATGACATCCCTTCATTTGCTGAGGCCCAGGGTCTCAGGAAGTTCGCAGAAATGGTTGTAAATGAATCGGACTGGTTGACAAGTGACGACATCGCATTTGAATGGGTTCGCGCTATCAGTGCTAGTTATTCGACTTCAAAATGGTCTGATACTATGAAAGTTGCTGTTGTACAGATGCTCAATAGGGTCGACACGATTTTGTATACCCGAATCAACCATATATTAAATGAGCCTTTCGTTTCTAGGGAAGAGTTGGTCGACCTCAACTCCATACTACCTATGATTTTCGAGCTACACATCGATATTTATGAACGCATTACGAACCCTAACAGCGCCGTCGATTTTGCTACGCGGATGGAAACCAAGTATCGGCTTGATAGGTGGCTTAACGCAACGTCAACTTATCTCCACTTGCTAGATTTGTCTCACAAAGACCCTCTTTGTGTCAGATTCATCTGGGCATCGGTGATGGTATCATCTCTAACCGAGAGCCCCGTTCGGGACCACATTCTTCTCTTATGGACTTCTCTTCGGGACTTCTTGGCTGCCGAGGACGTAGAGGAAATCATCTTGCCTAACAACGTTGTTATGCCTGTGATTTCTCCGGCTGCTGCAGATCGAGAACTTTCGAAATTGAATACGATGGACTTCTTTTTGGGTCTTTTCCAGGATGAAATGAAAGATCCGTTATTAGTCATTGAGACACTTGAACCCGTCCTAAATCCAACTTCAGTCTATGTATCTGAACAGAAGTCAAGTAGTTTGGCGGCAGAGAAAGTGGATGACGACGAAACACCCAATGACATGGATAAACACGACGCAATCAACATTCGCAGCAAGGCCGATGAAGATCAAAACGATAAAAAGAGCGATGATGCGGTACCGGAGGACGATAAACAGAACAAGAGTGAACAGGATAGCAGTGGAAGGGATGATGTATCGGACGGCTCCGAAGATTTAAGTATCAACCGAAAGCCAATATCGGAGAATGCTACCCAGGGCATGAAAGACGTGTGGAAATTCCTTACCAGCAGTAGTACAGAGTTACGACTTTTCTTGTGGTCGCGTTTGGGCGATGCGTACGAAGCTATTAACTATCCCACGAAGCGGTTTTCATGTCTTCTCAAAAGTATTGAAATGGTGGTCAACGACCTAGAAGGGGAGACGTATGCCAAGATGCCAGATGATTCACGGAAACACCTGTTTATGCGAACTCTGAAATCTTTGGATGAACTTGTTATTCAGGCTCTGTCCATGTCATTGAACGATGGCACATCTTTTGATATCATCGATGACGAGCATTTGAAATCGAGCTCAGCCACCATTGCGAAAATATGCTCATTTCTTCACGTTGTTGCTCTTTGCGAAGACGAATCTCGACTTGGCGTCACCAGCCTGGCTACGAGCAACAATACATTTGTGGCCCTAATCAACAAATTGCGAGATATTCAGGTCCGCGCCTGGTGCCTCCTGTTTACAATGTTTAAAGCCGGACTATCACAAAAGAAGACGGCTATGCTGGAGAACGATGTGGCGGACTATCTCGCCGCCATTCATAGAGTTCTTGGTCTCCGCAAGTTCTGTAAGGCCTCAAACAAGATCTTCCTCAAGGTGATGCGCATAGAACTCCTTAGGATGAGGAAAATTGAGGCTTGGGAAGATCATCTGGAACAAGTTCTTTATGATTTATATGGCTTGAAACTTGGCGTAGGCGTCTGGGAGGTGCAAGATCATGGCTGCCCATATGAGAAACTCGAGAAGAGACAGGCCATGCAACTGGTTGAGAAGGTAATGATTCTTGCAAATCGCATGACGATGAAAGATTTGCTTAAATCAGACCTGAAAACCACCATTGAACACATGCAGCAAACCATTGGACAGACCAAATCGACACCGCAGATGATTCATAACCTACGTAACTTCACGGAAATGCTGAAAAAGCCAATTCATCCGCTCAGACTATACCAAGCTCTCGCCGGCAAAGTATTTGTCGACGCAGTGACCGTCAACATTCCAGAAGGCGCTCTTGCTAGACATGGCTGGTTCTTCTTGTTGGGAATGATTGCTTTGACCAAGTTCAAAGGTGTAGATTTAAACCGTCGGCAGACTCCTGGGGCTACAGATGATCTTCGAATCGGAGCTACTTTTTTGAGATTGCAACTACAATTTACTGCTGACAGATGGGATGCCTGGTTTCGACTTGCAGAGTGTTTCGACTATGAGCTAGATGAATCCGTTTTGTGGACAGCAGATAAGATGAACAAAGATCGGTCGGAGCTGGTCAAATTTCAGCGAAACGCAATTCACTGTTATACCCTAGCCCTGTCGCATTCTCGACATGAACGCGTAATTGCTACAGATAGCGATCCGCTGCACGACCTATACCACAAATTCGGCATGAGACTTTACTCCTCCAGTCGAGAGCCATTTGCCATGGAGCCCTTCCAGCATTCGGATCAAGAACGATTCTTCATTGAAGACATGGGTGCCGGAACCTTCAAGAGGATTCTGCACGATCAAATGTCACAGTACAAAGTTTGGAAGTTTGCCGCCGGGTTGTTTCGAAAAGCGATGGCAAGGAAACCGCTTAACTGGAAGTGCGTAAACCCCCGATTCAATATGAGAACTCAAAGACTAACACGCAATAGGAATCCGTACATGCTTGGAAAATGTCTCTGGAAAATGTATCAGACACCCCGGGATCGCCTTGACAGCAGCGATCAAAAAAGCCCCATTACCATGGCGATGGTACTGGATACGCTCAAAACATCGATTGAGGTAGCACAAAGCGCCAGGAAGAGTAAGAACAGCGACCCGATTCTGGAGCCGCATTATAAGTTGGTCTCTATCCTGCACAAACTCGTCGATCGTGGGGATATTCCCGCAGCAGAAGCTGCATCGCTTCTGGCGGATCAGCCATTTGGCATTGTTGTAAATTCGAATGACCATTTCGCGTCTTTCTCTGAACCGGAAGACTGGGAAGAGTACATTATCCGCAACTTGACTAAGCTTCGTGAAAAGGATAAGTCCAACTGGCAACATCGAATCGTCATGCGCCATGCCAAGATTCTCTTTGATGAGAAGCACATTGCGCCGGACAGCGACGGCACTGTAGAAGCCAAGGCCGCATTTGCCATCCTGAAGGAGAACATGTTCACTAAAACAATGGTAATGAATGTGTGGAAGTGTGACGCTGAGCGGCCTGGTCGTCACCACGTCTTTACTGAGCAATATGTTCGCTTCATGACAAAGCTTCTGGTTATCATGTCGGACCGAACAAATCTGGAGCTTCTTTTGAGACGACTTCGCAAAAAGGGTGCGGACTTTTACCATTTTGCAGACTTATGGCAGTATAGCTGCACTGAGTACGTGAAGCTGTTGCGTGCAGCGTACAAGGTGCCAGTCACCACCGATGAAGCATTCAAGCACATGTCGAATGAGGAGTTTGAAATTATGAGCGAGAGGATCACCGATTGGGCTGGTGGTGATGGAGCTCCAAATACAGCCTTCGAATGCATGAAAGAGGCCATTGAAGTCAAGAAGCTCAATGGAAACCTAATGAAGGTCGCACCAATTGACGATCTCATCAACGATTGTTACACGACAATCTATGTGGACGTTGCCGGAACTCTTCCAGGACTAGAGCCGGGGAGAATCATAGAGGAGCGCAACCACGCCAAGGAAGTCGCAGCTCAATTAGAGGCCGTAGCCCAAGCTGAGCCGAAGCCAAAGAGCTCACTCAGTAATCTCCTTAATCCGCCAAGCGGAGGAGACAGTGCAGCTGGATCCGCTACGCCAATGGAGACCGATAAAGCAGAGGCTATTCCGCGCGCGAGGAGACTGGCCGGTGTGCGCCGGCCCGAGATTTTACGGAAGGCAGAGCAAGCTGTCGTGCGTGCTATGGAGGCACCAAAGTCTGTTACAACTAAGAGTCGGGTTGGAAGCATGTCAAGCACGAAGCGTGGTAGTCAGACACCTGCTAGACATGGTAGCATGGTTCATAATGACGATGAATGTGTTGAGGGACCAGATGCTCAGGTACGCCGAGAGGCTGGCGAAGATGTTGACGAAGAAATGGGTGAAGGAGAGGACAATGAAGAAGCAGTCGAAGACGAAGAACATGGTGACTCCCGAATGGAGGACAAGGATGAAGAAGACCATCCTGGTAGTATCCATGATTCTGCGGATGATGAGAGTGATCTTAGTGACGTGCCGGAAGGGTATGACGACGATGTACCGCCCGGACTCTTGTTCCCCAATCTTCGAAGGTCTGAGTCGGGTGGGGACGAAGCAGACAGCGAAGACGCGGAGGACGATGAAGAGGAGCCCGACGAGGAGGAGGCGGAGGCGGAGGAAGCAGAGGAGGCGGAGGAAGCAGAGGAGGCGGAGGGTGACGAAATTGAAGTTGGAGAATTAGAGGCAGAAGGGGAGGAAGACGAAGGACATGAGGGTGAGGAAATAGAAGTTGAACAGGAGGTAGATGAGGAAGATCATGACGAAGAGGAAGGCGAGCACGAAGAGGCTGAAGAGGAGGTAGAGGAGGAAGAGGAGGAAGAGGAAGGTAATGATGATACGGAGATGGCTGGTATAGAAGAGGGTGAGGGTGAGGAGGGCGAAGAGGAGGAGGATGAAGAGGAGGATGAAGAGGAGGAGGAGGAGGCAGAGGAGGAGGCAGAGGAGGGTGACGAAGAAGTAGACGAGGAAGTAGACGAGGAAGCCGAGGAGGAAGAAGGCGACGCAGAAGAGGAAGAAGACGAAGACGGGAATGAGGAGGAGGAAGCCGAAGAAGAAGAAGAGGCTGAGGAAGAAGACTAAGGCGGAGCATGCCTTTAATTGCGTTCAGAGGATATTGCACACAGGGCAGGTGTGTGCGAACTTGTGATGTGTGTTTTTACATTCGGGACAAACGGCGCTGCTAGGCTGGGAACATTGTATAATGAACACGTTTCACGAATGCACATTGTTGGTCCATCGTACGTGTAGCGACTATTTGACTTGCTCCAGGATTGCAAGATGGAATAACTGTTTTGGAACACCCAAAATCACGAGGACTCGTAGCCTAGTAGATGACAGGGGCTGGGTAGTGTTGTAAACTGGCAGCATGCCGTACTGTAGGGGAATGATACTACATTGTGTAAATACTACGGTTGTCAGGCCAGGATTTGAATTCTTACCAGCTTCGTGGAACAGGTCAAGGAGCCTGTGAAGCCAAGGACATGCCTCAATTGAATGTCTGGTAGCTTCTCGCATGTCCTGGGTTCACCAGCGTGATACCCATCAGGCTTCTCTCCAACCCAGTTTTAGAAGAAATGAGACGTCAGCTAATGCCCTTGCTTGTTCTTGTTCTTTGGGTGAGGGTCATTTCTGGGTTGGAAGAGCGTGCAGTTGGAAAAGTGTTTACGGACCAGCACACCGCCGGATCCCGAAGCCGCTGCTTATTGTATGCATCTACTCACTTAATGGGCCATACATAATTTCTACTGCGCATGGAAGCAACGTATTAAACTATGGATTACGTGGCTAGCTATTTTAACCCTCTTCTTTGTCCATATCGTCGCGATGCCTCTTGCTAGTGCCCTTGGCTCTCTTGCCCTTGCCGTGCCTTTTCTCGGACAAGTTCTTCATTTCGATTCTCGCGTGCCTTTGCGCCTCTTCGACGCGGTGCTGGAACGCCAGGACTTCTTCCTTCTCGGTGGGGTAAATGTCCAGCTTCTTGCCCAGCGCGGCCTCAATTCGCTGGAACACTTCGATGTCGTACTGCGTCACCAAGCTGATTGCGATACCAGACTTGCCCGCTCGAGCCGTTCGGCCCACCCTGTGGATGTAGGTTTTCGAGTCCTGCGGCAGGTCGTAATTGAGAACGACGTCGACTTTGGAGATGTCCAGACCACGGGCTGCAACATCGGTGGCAACGAGGATGTCGCGGGTTCCGGAGCGGAATTTGTTGAGGGCTCCGAGGCGAGCAGATTGTGAGAGTTGGCCGTGTAGAGGAATGGCGCCGAATCCGAGAGTTCGGAGGAGGATTGCTATTCTTTGTGTTTCCCACACGGTGCGTGTGAAGATGATGGTGGACTTGCCGGTGAATTCGTTGACTAAGTAGATGAGATACGTGTCCTTGCGCATCTGTGGGATGACAAGGAGGTTCTGCAGAAGCGTTGAGACAGTCTGGTACTTGTTGCTGCTGACGCTGACGCGAACGGGGTCTCGCAAACTGGCCCGCTGCAAGCTCTCGACCTTGGAACTAAGCGTCGCGGAGAAGAGGTAGGTCCGTCGTTCGCGCGGGATGAATTTGAGCAGCTTGTCAATCGCAGGACCAAAGTCCATGTCTAGCAGACGGTCGGCTTCGTCCATGACCAGGTATTTCAGTGTGCGCAGCGAAAATCCCTTTGTCTTTTCAAGGTGATCCACTAGTCGTCCAGGCGTGGCCACGATGATGTGCGGCTTCTTTCCGAGCGCAACGGCTTGGGGGACCATGTCTAAGCCGCCGACAATAACGGCACATCGTAGTGATATTGATGACCCCAGAGCTTCGAATGATTGCCCAATCTGGTGCGCCAGTTCTCGGGTCGGGGCGAGGACGAGGCCGAATAGTGGCTGAGGTTTGTCGAGGAGAGCTTGCAGGATGGGAAGCGCAAATGCAGCTGTCTTTCCGCTACCAGTTTCAGCGAGACCGATGATATCACGATTCTGCAAGGCGACCGGGATGGACTTTTCTTGGATGGGGGTCGGGAATTTATAGTTGAGAGATTCACAAGCTTCGCATAACGAGTCAACGATTCCCTAGATTGGTGAGCAGTGAGAGCAGAGGCCTAGGGCACGAGCATCTGCTATGCTTACCAGCTGTTTGAAAGTCTTGGGTTGAGTATCAGATTCCTCTAAAGCAGCTTCGTCGAGAGTTGCTGATTCTTCTTGATCACTTGAAGCCTCGGGTTCTGAAGATGGAGCGCGTGGGGGACTGCTCATGGGCACATGGCGTTTGGTATGTGCGCCATGGGCAACCTTTCTCCTTTTGATGTCAACCATGGCTGTCAAGAATGCTTATGACCACCAGAGACAGAGAAGACGTATCAGGGTCGCCCAATCAATCGGCAAAAGAATGGACTGTTGATGTGGGAAGAAATAATGTGATGGGAGTGGTTGGTTATATAACTACTTCCGAAGAAAGCCTCTGGCGATGCCCCATTTTTTGTGTGACAGACGGGACGGGAAAATCTCAGCGGGGCCAGGCTTATCGCGCGTGTGGATTGGCCCAAAGGAGACAATTTGCTGCTTATCGCCCATTGCCCCACTCAATTTTTTCTCGTCTACGAAACCTTCATTTCTATTCATGAATCATATATTACAGCATCAGGTTGTCACTATCAAAACATCTCAGTCCTCTGTCACGAGCCAACAATCATGGCGCGAAAACGAACAAAGAAGAGAACACATGTTGGTGCCAACAACCCGGAGACAGCCTCAGCCGGCCATGCCACTGCCCGCGACCCCAAGAGCATGGTCATCCGGATCGGGGCGGGTGAGGTCGGTTCCAGCATCAGCCAGTTGGCCGCCGATGTGCGCAAAGTCATGGAACCCGGTACGGCCAGTCGGTTGAAGGAGCGAAGAGGGAACAAGTTGAAGGACTATGTTGTCATGTGCGGACCTCTTGGTGTTACTCATCTGATGCTGTTTTCCCGCTCAGAGACGGGCAACACAAACTTGAGGATGGCGCTTGCGCCGCGCGGTCCGACAATGCATTTCCGCGTCGAAAAGTATTCGCTTTGCAAAGATGTCCAGAGAGTTCAGAAACACCCCAGAGGTGGTGGGAAGGAATTTTTGACACCCCCGTTGGTATGTTCAGTTGCTCGTATTCCCGCACGCAGAATGCAAAGGTCGCTAACTTGAGGTAAAAATTTTGTTATAGCTTGTCATGAACAACTTCGCCACACCAGGTGCCGACGCCAAGTCCAAGGTCCCCAAACACCTCGAATCTCTCGCCACCACTGTCTTCCAATCACTCTTCCCCCCCATCAATCCGCAACAGACCCCCCTCAAGACAATCCGACGGGTCCTCCTCTTGAATCGCGAAAAGTCCGAGGAAGAAGACGGAACCTTCATTGTGAATTTCAGACACTACGCCATTACCACAAAGTCCACCACGGTATCGAAACCTCTGCGGCGAATCAAGGCAGCTGAAAAGTTAATGACGACCAAGTCAAGCAGGCAGGGACGCATGCCCAACCTCGGCAAGCTCGAAGACATCGCCGACTACATGATTGGGGGTGAAACAGGCGACGGATACATGACGGACGCTACCAGTGGCAGCGAGGTTGACACAGACGCGGAAGTCGAGGTTGTCGACAACGCCCCCAGAAGAGTAATGTCAACAAAAGCCCGTCTGGCTGCCGAACAAGCCGGCCAAGAACCTGAAGAGGAAGCAGAAAACGTTGAGCGAAGAGCCGTCAAACTCGTCGAGCTGGGGCCCCGCATGCGCCTACGACTTAGCAAAGTTGAAGAAGGACTGTGCGCCGGCAAGATCATGTGGCACGAGTATGTGCACAAGAGCCGCGAAGAAATTCGGGAACTTGAGAAGCGATGGGAGAAGAGAAGACAGGAGAAGGAGGCCCGCAGAAAAGAGCAAAAGGCCAATGTGGAGAGGAAAAAAGCCGAAAAGGAGGCCAGGAAGAAGAAATCTGGCGACGGAGACGGTGAAGAGGATGAAGACGACGAGGATGAGAACTACAGCGACGTGGACTTTGACGACTTTGACAGCGAGGGCTTGGCGGGCGATGCCGAGTTCAAGGCGAATGAGCAAATGGAGGAGGATGGGGAGTGGGAGGACGAGAGGGGAGAAATCGGACGCGAGTGACCGTATATATATATATATACATTTAGCTGGATGATGATCTTATTTCCATGGTCTTGGTTGCAAGATTCGACCCGACTATGCTCGCCGTGACTGCTGACCACATCAACTCTCCCAGCACCTACCTCACATCTAAGACACTGAAAACCTCTATGCCAAGCTGCGCAGCGCACTCATCAATACTCGTATCCCGAATATGGCGATGCAAATCGTCACGCTCAACACCAAGCGCGGACTGCAAGCCCTTGACATCCACCTCTGCATCCAACGCCCGTGCCGCCCCGGCACCCGCATTCGACTGAAACATTCCCGCGGCGGACAGGGGCAAAAAGTCCTCGTATATCGTCGGGCTCACTTCCACGATGCTTCGCCGCACAAGCTCGCCGACCGTGTACGCCGCGCGTGCCAACGCCGGCCTCCCCCTGACGCGGTACGAGAAGTACACCAGGTCCTGCGTCCTCAGGTCCTCTCACGTATTGGGGTACCTTTCAAACACCCTCGCCGCCGCGTCACCCAGCACCTCTGGAGATGCTCGCGCGCTGGCCATGGCGCGTCGTACAGCCTTCGTCCGCGGGGAGCAACGGCCGCGCCTCGCTCCCCGATCTCGCCGAACCCAGTTCTGTGCAACGCCTGCGCTAGCCTGCGAGCACCCTCATCGGCGGCAAACCGAGCCGGTTCCTCGACGGCCAGAAGCTCGTCTCAAGATGGGGCATTTTCTCCTCGTGGGGCTGGGGGGGGGGCGCGTCCTCGATACTGGCCTTGACCTCCAGACCCTCCCGTCTCATGGCCTCCTGGGCGGGAACAATGGCCAACGTCTGGGGGCGTCAGGTGGCTTACATGGGCAGATGGAAAACACGCCACATCGGCGAGGATGGAGTGCGCCGCCTTGAGCGACGTGTAGTCATGGAGGGAGGCGGCGGCGACGAAGCGCGTGCTCTGGGCGGGTGTGAGACGGCCGTTTTGCGAATCCGTCCTGTCGAGGATGGCCGTGAATTCTGGGGTGAACTGGAAAGGGGGTCCAGGGCGAGGGTCTCGACGGCGGCGTCCTTGATGAGCTCTGGCCGGAGGACTGAGATGAATACTCTGAAGGAGTCTTTGGAGAGTGATTCTCTTGTTTTTGGTCGGAAACAGGCGGCGTGCATGGGGGAGTCGGGCGGGCGTGAGGTCGTAGTAGCCGACGGGGTAGAGGCCGATGATGGCCAAGATGCGTCTGACGGTGTGTAGCTCGCGGGCGGTGCCGAGACGAATTGCGCCGTGGCGCTCAATGTCGATCATAGACGAGGGGCCGAGGGCGTCGCCGTAGCGCATTGAGAGTGTTTTTGGATCGAGGCTTGATTATAGTGTTCCCTGGTTGACGTCGGAGACGATGCGGACGAGGTCGCCGTATAAGGGGACTTGGGATTTGTACATGGACGACATGGCCAGGGTGAAGCATGTTCGAAGGTCGTCTGATCCGCGAATGAGCCTCGGATGACGTTGGCGGGCATGATTACGGAGCCTTATGTTTTATTTTATGTAGCTGGGATTTGTTGCTCATGTAAGGCGGCGGTGGCATCAATTTGTGTTTTGTATGCAGGTTGGTCCATTTGGCTCAGTTATCAGGATGGCAGATGGAGGCACTTGGAGATGTATCCTATTTATACGCGGACGTAACCCATGATACGCAGAACACGTCGGCTCATGATACATCATGTAATGACAGCTTACAAGCACTCCGGTTTCGGGTTGCCGGCTCGTCACCGATACAGAGCACACGGGCAGATGTTGACACCTAGGTTGTCGAGAGATAAGCGCCGGCGAGATAAAGAAAATATGGACGGGAGTTGTGTACGGATCGTCTCGATTGAGAAGACGGTGGGACCACATAGTGGGCTTATTCCTATTCTTTCAGAGCTATCGTCGAAACCAGTGATAAATAGGACGGAGATGTGCCGTCTCTTGCATGTAACTCTTATGCCAACGAACAAGAGGCCTTGGCCATGAAGCCCTCGACTTCTTGACTCGAGCCAGTGGAACCAATCAAGTACACGGAGCATCGTCAATACCGCGTCATATGCCGGTGGTCTGTGGATGTCAAAATTGTCACGGCACCGGCGGCATTGGGGCCGGTCCCCGGATGGATCCGTGATTCGCCGGGCCGACCCGGATGGGACCTGCTTCTTGCGCCAGAGTGTTTTTGCTGAGTGTTTTTCCAGCAATTCGATTCTCCATTTAAGCTCCTCAAAGGAGATTGTTTTCTTCTTTGACGCGGACACACTCGAGCAAAGTCCCAATGGTGATATGGCCTACCATGCTGGTAGTTTTTGCATTTTCCACACGAACAATCCGAACCAGAGATTCCATAACCATTTATTACATGGCTTTCATGTGGGCCTGCCTCCCGTCCCCACCGCCGTGAGCCAAGGTCGGATCGGAGGGCGCATCTTCCCCTCGCGTCAGCAAACACGGATGCTCTTACACGGCTTCCGTCAACATTCAGTGAGACTACACTGCTCGGCCGTGCCACTTGCTCTGAAACACCACACATCATCCATGCGTTTTTCTTCCTATCATACAATCTTCACAACACCAGCCAACCATGGCACCACCTGCAGCCAAAAAGCCTCGGCTGGTCATAATGGGGTCCAGAGAATACCACATCCAAGACTTTGTCGCCGACTACCAGCAGGATTTTGAGTATTCCGTATACCTTGTGCCCTTTTCTGAACAAAAGCAGCACGAAATTGCACGTCCTGACACACGCAGGTCCTCGACGCTCATAACCGCAAGGAAGCACTCACCAAACTACCGCAGGATGTGGCGCAAAACGGCCCGATAGACGCCTTCATCATCCGCGTAGGGACCAGCGAGTTTGAGCCGTTTGACGAGGAGCTCCTGGGCCCGCTGGCGCCCAGCTGCAAGATCATCGCCTCGGCGTCGGCGGGCTACGACGAGTTCGACGTCGACTGGATGTCGCGCAGCGGCATGTGGTTCTGCAACACGCTCGACGCCGTGGCCGAGGCGACGGCCGACATGGCCATGTTCCTGACGCTGGCGGTGCTCCGGGACGCGCACCGCGCCGAGCGAGGCGCCAGGTCGGGCTCGTGGAAGGCCGGCCTCGTGCCCGCGCGCGACCCGTCCGGCTCGACCCTGGGCATCGTCGGCATGGGCAGCATCGGCAAGCACCTCGCCCTCAAGGCGGCGGCCTTCAACATGCCCGTGCGGTACTACAACCGCCGGCGGCTGCCGCCCGCCGAGGAGGCCAGGCACGCCGCCACGTACTGTCCCACGCTCGAGCGGCTCCTGGCCGAGTCGGACGTGGTGTCCATCAACTGTCCGCTTACCGCGGCCACGACGAATCTCATTTCGCACAGGGAGGTCGGGCTGATGAAGGACGGCGCCTTTCTCGTGAACACGGCGCGTGGTGCCATTGTGGACGAGGAGGCGCTCATCCAGGGGCTGGAGAGTGGCAAGATCACCCGCGCGGGGCTGGATGTGTTTGTCAACGAGCCGCACATTAATGATTATTTTAGGACCAGCGACAGGGTCATTTGCCAGCCGCACATGGGGGCCGTGACGACGGAGGCGTTTAGGAGGGGAGAGAGGGAGTGTTTGGAGAATCTGCGGGCCTTTTTCCGGACAGGGAGGCCGCTGGCGCCTGTGAATGAGATTACCGGCGCCGCTACCAAGTAGGCGCGGCCGGTTTTGCAGAGTGGCGCACTATTTGTGTAGTTTTGTTGGCATATATGAGGTTGAATTCTCGAGTCGTCGATGCCAATGGGGTTGCTGCGGTTTGTTTTTTTTTTTTTTTTCATAACTTGTATGCTCCCCACGGCAAGTTACACAAAGCCCACCACTACGCAATTAAGACGAGCGCCTAAAAACAAGCCAATGGTCCAAAACAGCCAAAACAGACCGACACACGCAGCAGCCAGTCGTGCTTTTCACCTGTCCTCTGGGGTTGAATCTCGGGAAGCCCCCGCATCCCCACTTTCGCCAATCTCAATCTCGCAAACGAGCCGATGCGGACCAACGATTGGCCAATTGGCGCGAGCTTTCCAACTCGCCCGTATGTCGCTACAGCTTCTTGCTCGCGTCCCGTCTTTGCACGTTTGCACCTCGCATCCAACTTCCATCCCGACGGCGCCAACATTGTCCCAGCGAAGCGACAGCGTGTGGAAATGGAAGGCCTCGAGCCTCTGATCAACTGGGCACGCACCCGAGGCGTCGAGCTCGACGGCGTCGCGCCGCAGCAGATGCCCGGCCGTGGAATCGGCGCCGTGGCAACACGGTCAATCAAGGTTCCGTCTGCGCACACCGCGAACCCTCCCAGCGCGGCCTCTAATCAGCTTCCCACAGGCAGGCCAGGTCCTCATGACGATCCCCGCCAGGGCCATCCTCAGGCTTGACTCGGTGCTCGCCTCCATCTCGTCCAGACTGCCGTCGGCATCGTCGATCCACGGCCTGCTGGCCGCGCAGCTCGCGGCCAGCTCTGACGCCGAGACGACCCTCCGCAGAGACGCGATGCCCTCCCTGCAGAGCTTCGCCGCGACGACGCCCCTCTTCTGGCACCGGCGGCTCCAGGACCTGCTGCCCGCGGGGGCGCGGAGGCTCGTGGACCGGCAGGAGGCGGCGCTGGAGCGCGACTGGGCCGCGTTCCACGAGGCCTTCCCCGGCGTCGCGCGGGACGCCTACCTGCGCTGCTGGTTCCTCGTCGGCACGCGGGCGTTTTACCACGAGACGGACGCGACGCTGCTGTACCCGTGGGAGGACCGGCTCGCGCTGCTGCCCGTGGCCGACATGTTCAACCACGCGGGCGTGCCGGGGTGCTCGGTGGCCTTTTCGCCCGAGGCGTACACGGTGACGGCGACGCGGGCCTGCGCGAGGGGCGACGAGGTCTTCCTCTCCTACGGCGAGCACTCCAACGACTTTTTGCTGGCCGAGTATGGGTTCCTGCTCGACGACAACCAGTGGGACAGCGTTGATCTCGGCGCCTTTATCCTGTCGAGGCTGGGCGCGAAGCAGCAGGCAGAGCTTCGGGCCCGGGGCTTTGACGAGTGTCTTGTTGGGCCGAGCTCGCAGTGGGATCTACCTGACGGCGCGCTGGATGTTCTGGGACGTTGCTTTGCCGCGGAGCCGCCGGAGAGGGCAGCGAATGGAGGACAGCAGGGCAAGCCTTTGGAAGAGCGCGTGTTTGTGGCCGTTTTGACACGCTTCCTGGACGAGATACACGACGTCAAGAGCGCGATTCGGGCCGTCACAGTCGGAGACGATGCCCAGCGCGCAACGCTGCTAAGACGCTGGGACCAGATAGAAGCTCTGGTCAGACGAGCCATCCGGGGGTTACCCAGCTAGCTCGCATTCCGGTATCCATGTGTCATTTTTTGATCGACCACGCGGGGGGAAGGGGGACAGGGGACATCCCCGCCAGCCCATGACGGCTGCAGTTGCCCAGAAACTAAAACCCGAATCTCGATACGTGTACGATTATTACCTCTGGAAACCTTGTTCAAGGCGTCGTCCCAGGGGGGAACGTCATTGGTGCTCGCCGCCGCCCAGGAGGGCAGGGCGGCATTATATCTGACAGGCCAAGAGTCTCAACCAAACATGAACATGCGTCTGGTGCCATTCGAGCATGAGGCAGTTCCCGCTCTGCCCTGGACCCGTAAGTCACGCAGGAAAACATGGATAGCGTGCGCCCAGCGAGCCGAGTTCTATCGACACGGCCATGTAAACAGCTGGCGCATTCTTGTCAACGTGTCGTGGACCGGGCATGACATTGACAACCGATGCGTCAAACACTTCAACTCCAACTACACGCCTCGGCCCTCCGGGTGATGTCCACAGTCAATTTTGCATGGTTACTCACCAACGAACACGCAACGTACACTCCAGTGGAACAATCGCACCGTGCCAAAACGACAGGCAACGCACCATCTCAACAAGACGACACATCTCCCGTCTCCAGCTACTCTAAACCCACAGTAGCACCACAGTCCGCAAAATCAACACTGCGGCGTCCCCAACAGTCTTCATCCTCCAAACCACCAGGGCAAGCCGCCATCACAAGAACCCCCAGCCTCAGCTACATCATCCCCGTAGATTTCACACGTTCCCTCTCCCCAGCACATAACGTCCACGTCAGCCGTCAAGAAAAACTGGCGGTCAGCCAAACCCTCCGGACAGGCCGGACCTCGTCCCGCGAAGAGAGGGGGAAAAGAGACACTGGTTCGCAAAACCGCATACATAATGTCAGACGGTGACGACAAAGGGGGCAAGATGACTGCCAAGCTCAAACCAGGCAAAACGCAAAGACGTATGCGACGACACCGGCCGGCCGTCGACATGAGTGGCTGCTTGGCGATTTACCTGCTTACGCCGTATCACACGCCGAGTGGCGATGCGGCATCGGCGTGTCTCAATACAAAGATACAAGTGCCAGGACAGTCTCAAACCAGGTCGTTATCGAGCTTGACCCCAGGGAAGACGCTCCCCGCGCATTGCCTCTTTGACGAGGGCCCCCAACTGAGACGACACACCTGATATAAACGACACATTAGTACACGCGCGTACAACACAAGAAAATATAAACAATAGCCATGCACATTTGGCGGGCGTTACACGCGCAAAGCAAAACTGACTCGGGGACAATGCGTGCCGATTCATTTCTCCATCTACTCTAATAACTCCTCTATTGCCTGTTTTACTGTGCTGTCGATCCATTTTCCAGAGAGTTCCCCAAGGCGCAAGACGAACAAGAAAAAGAAGAACAAAAACAAAAACCATCAAATGACTGTATCAGATGCAACTCCAGCCCTTGGAGTTCTAGCGCGAGCCCAATAGTCCCCCCCAGGTTCCACCAAACACGTGTACGGCCACAATGCCCCCCTAGCATCACATGGATGGGACCTAAGAAGCCAAGAACGCAAAGGAACAATAAAAAGCAACCCATGCAGCGTAACCCAAGCCAAACACTCTCTGGGAAAGAGAGCCCGAATAAGGTTGTAGTCCCCGTCTCTGTAGGAAACTTGGCCCACATTGGAGGGGAAACTTGCGTCCAAGGTTCAAGTCTGCGGTCCAGCTCGCCCTTGCTTGGGTTCAGCGACTACCGAAATCTGGCATGTAGGACCTGCGGACCTTGGAAAACCTTGTTCACACAACCAGTGTTGGAAATTGGTTGCGTTTGGTACGGTACTGGGTTTTTTTTTTTTTTTTTTTTTTTTTTAAAGTGTAAAAAGCAACCCATGCAGCGTAACCCAAGCCAAACACTCTCTGGGAAAGAGAGCCCGAATAAGGTTGTAGTCCCCGTCTCTGTAGGAAACTTGGCCCACATTGGAAGGGAAACTTGCGTCCAAGGTTCAAGTCTGCGGTCCAGCTCGCCCTTGCTTGGGTTCAGCGACTACCGAAATCTGGCATGTAGGACCTGCGGACCTTGGAAAACCTTGTTCACACAACCAGTGTTGGAAATTGGTTGCGTTTGGTACGGTACTGGGTTTTTTTTTTTTTTTTTTTTTTTTTTTTTTTTTTTTTTTTTTTTTTTTTTTTTTTTTTTTTTTTTTTTTTTTTCTGAAAAGAGTTTTTGTAGTTGAGACACCCTGCTTGTAAATATATCCCTGCCCAGAATCCCCCCCCAGGTTTCTCTCCCCGTTTCTTAATTTCTTTTTTTAGTCGTCTTCTTGTTTTTTGTCTGTTTCGGCATCACCCGTGGAATACCATGCATCCCAGCAGTGTAGCCCATTAGAAAGGCTTCCTGTGGCGATTGGGTCCGACACGGACGGACGATCTCCTGTTTCGACCAGGGTGGGTTGCTGGCGCAAAGGGTCGTGCATTCTTGGCGCAGCTTGATTCCGTGCGATACCTCAATACGATATTGAAGTTGCCTTGCCATGGCGCTTCCCCGACCGGCCGTACTGCACCTGCTGCATGCCTTGGCTGTAATAAGTCATGCTGTGTTCCCCATATGTATCCATACACATTGTAGGATCGAGCATATTCTGCGTCCAGCCCGAGTCCATAACCACTTCGTCAAGCATCACGGGGTCAGGAATGCTTGACGACCCGTCAGACCATACTGTCGTGGCGTCCCAGGGTGAATTCTGCCCGTTGCTGCTGCCATCTTGGTGCGACCAGTGCTGATAGTACTCGTTGCCCGCGTAGAAGCCTTGTCCCACAAGGTCCAGCGCCGTGTCCAGGGCTTCTGTAGAGGCTGACGACGAAGAAAGGTCGAATGACATTTCGGGCGCAGCTAGTGATGATGACGAGCCCTGCTGCTGGTCTACGGCGTCCGTTTCTGCTGAATGGTTTTGCTGCACCGAGAATACATCCATCGACCCGGAGAAGGCGGGATTGGGTCCCAACCCGAATGCTGGGTTGAGGGGCATCTTTACGCGAGGTTCTAATTTGTACTCGCAAGGCACGGAGCGGTTTACACACCTGCTACCTGAAACGTTTCGTCAGTACGGGAACTAGGCTACGGCAACCAAGGTCGTTGGCTGCAAGAGTTGAACCTACAAGAGGGCTTCTCGTAGCCGCATTTGACTTTGAACGATATGCACCGCTCGCAAGACCGCTTCTTGGTCGGTATAATCTTCCCAATCGACTTCTCGCACCGCCGTCTATGGCGTTCCCTCAGGTCTCCTGCTCCCCAAAAAAAAGCGAGGCGCATACATTAGCACAGTCGTCCCAGCGCAGTGGTTAAGCTTGAGGAGAATATTCGTAGCAGCCCAAAAAGGCGGGAAAACAGGCTTAAAGGTAAACTCACTTCGACTGAACTGTTTTAGACAGATATGACATACATGGACGTCCCCCGTATCGAGCTGTGCGGATGAGCCCGACCGAGAATGAAAAGAACCAACAGATACCATGATGGTTTCTGGCGTCCGGCCTTCGTGTCTTTTTGGTAGCACGGCAGTCGGTGGTGGCAGAAGTGGCCGTAGCGAAGCAGCAGAGGCAATGTTGAATTGACGTCCCAAGTGAGTCTAGGTAACACGGCAGAGCAGTACCCGTTCAACGGTCTCAATGAAACGTAGAGTTGCAAAGAAAGAGAAGTTTAAATTTTGTCTTGCAGAAACAGCTTGTTTTCTCCGCGGAGAAGGGTGGCAAGAGCACGAGATTCTGTGTGATCGTGCCCCGAACGGCCCGTGTTCTGTGTGTGAAAATGAAAGTCCACTTCCTGCATATATGTATGTTGTTCAGAGAGCCAATGCGCCGCGTGGGTCCCGTGTCTCTTTTTTTAAATCGTCTTGACGTCGTACGTCGTCTCGAAATAGATTGAAACAAGCCAGGTGGTTGCCAGATGGATAGGAAACGTGCAAAGATTTGAAATGGCGGCCAAGATGCTATGGCGAGTAATAGTTTATTACAACATGAGGACCCTAAGTGGGACAGGGAGTTGGTGGGATCGAATCCTTCTTATTGACTTCTCGCCACGAGCTTAGCAACAAGAAACGCATGTATGTATGGGTCTCCTTCTCTTGATTCGGACTAGGAAGCAAAACAGAATACATGAAATAATAAAAGGCTGCGTATATTAAGCGGCGGAGACAAGCCAACGAGGCGCCGGGCTAGTGATGTGTGCCCCCATGCCTATAAGAATCCAAGTTTTTTTTTTTTTGCCTATCCGTACATTTGTACAGTCCTTCAGGGCGGCGTTTACAACGCGATGCCCGTCCGATGGGCATCACGCAAGCGAAGAATGCGTGACGAAAGGGGGGGCAAAGAAAGCAGAAGGGGAATGACGGACAGGGTCGCAGGGCCAAGAACGGGCAACAGGGCAACAGGGCAACAGGGGCGTGTGTGTTCTCTCATCTCAGTATCCAGTTGACACCTATACGGTGCCGCCTCCGTTCGGCGGCCCAGGAGAGGGCAATGAGCGAGCTCCGTAATCACGGGTTGAAAGGACCGCCACGTACCCTTTTGTCAACCTCTACGGCCTCTGTAGAGGGCAAGTCCAGGAGCATGGGTACTATTTTGCTTCGTCTTGGCGTCTTAGGTCCAGGTAGCATGTGTCAACTTGGTGGGAGAAACATAGGTAGCTAGCTACTCCATCCACTGGCGCAGCTAAGGCCGGCCCCCATGCGCAATCCGCTATTCGTCTGGTCGTTCCGGTTGTCAGATGTATCAGGCAATCAGGCCTGTCGGTTTGGTTGCATTATGCCCATTACCCAGATAGTGTTACACCAGGGGGGGCCGCTGCGAGTGTCACACAAAGTGTAAGAGCCAAGCAAGGGTTGTGTTGTGTCCGTGTGTCCATGTATGGTCATGTATGGCCATGTGCGTCGACGGAACACAAAGTCTTTTGTACAGGCCAATACTAGCATGTACTTGTAGTTCCACCTGGCTAGCACATTGTGCTGCGCATGCGGAGGAACTCTCAAAGACTACTCGAGGCTCGGCTTGCCTCAAGGGTGAGTGGGCCGGGGTATGACGGCCCGCAGATCGTCGTGGCAGCCACAGGTATTCTGTTTGGCGCTGTTATCCAATCGGTATAGGAAGTAGCTAGTTCGATGTGATGTGATGGCCATATGCCTACTATGTTGAGAGCGTCTCTTCGTCTCTCTCGGACCGAGCCAGTTGTTCTGCCTTTCTGTTTGCCTCACAGGCAACAGGGAGCGGGGAATGAATTTTCCATCAACAGACCAAATGCATATTGGGGCAAAATAAGAAGAAAAAGATGCCATCTTTCCGTCGCCGTCTCCGTCCGGGAACATATCGACAGGGTATCAACTGCGTGGGAATCGCAAGTGTACCTGCTGTACTTCCGGGGCGTCCGCCTCGAGTCGATCCCCAAACAGTCGGCCTGCTTTTCCTACTCCAGGCAATAACGTCTGTATGAAAAAAGAATTCATCTCTGTCGCTTCAAGACGTTGCCCGCAAGAGAGAGAGAGCCATGGGCAACCCACAGTGGGGTGTAGCCCTCGGCCGCCGGCCGAATTTATCGACCAGAATCTCTTTTACCCGAGCTGATTGTGACAACGTTGGCCCAATGAACCCCAGCGGGTGGTCCTTGGCCTTGATTTCTGTACCCTCTGGCTGCCTTCTTGCTTGACGCGAGCCGGCTACGCGGAATGCAGTGTGCGGACATGGCCAGCCGGACAAACCTATGGCTGAGCTGAAAAGCTTAGTAGCACCAGACCCTTTAATTCTCCGTATTCCGCCCGCCACTGTCGAGAGCGCACCAAAGTCTTCAGCCCGAATCTGCCTCCAACTGGGTAATCAAGCTCTATCGGAGCCGAATATTGCCTGCCGGGCCTCAACGTGTACCTCCTAGGTGTGCCAGTGTACGTGATTGGCGATGGCGCTGCAGCCACCTTGTGATGTTCCGCCTCAAGATTCCTTGTTGGTTGTACGTCAAGCCCTGACCTCGGCTGGCCACCCCCAGAAAGAACTTGTAGTTCCTGGTCACACCAATTGGAGTTTATGCTTGCGCCAGCTTATCTGAAGTTTGACAGACGTGCAACATTAGATACTTCAGACACCGTACGGTGATCCACTGTAATGGGGAGCAAAAGCTACCAGTAACCGGCCTGGGGCAGCTTTGACGAGACAAGCAGACACCATCGGGTGAGTAATGTATTGGACTGAAGAAAACCTAAAACCCTCAATGAGCCTCAACCCTGGTCCGGCACTCCTAGAGTCCTAGTACAGTCGCTCCACTCCTGCACTGTTCCGTGCCTCCATTTGTTTATTTTGTGACTGTTTCAGAGGGGCCTGGGTGCCGTAGCTGTCTAGGTCCAAGAGCCAGCCAGACCCCTAAGACCACCTGATGTCTAGGCAGTACTCCGTACTTTAGCAGGTTATCAGGGGTGTGGTTGTCCTATTTCCGGAGTTGAATCGTGAATCTGGACAAAAATACATGAGACGGGCATCGTCGATCGGAGCCTTCTTTCGACGTTCCAGATGTGTCGGGGCATCCGCTATGACATGCTAAGATACCATGCTTAAAAATAAGATGACTACCGTGCCTGAGTCAGCGCAAAGCGAGGACACCATGTCACCATGCATGCGGTACCAGTGTGTCCTGTCCTGTCCTGTCCTGTTCTGTTCTGTTCTGTTCTGGTCCTGTGTGCTGCCTCACGGCGGATACTGCGACGCTTACGCCAAGTCCGCGCATGGGTAAATGCGCAGTCCATCGGCGTATGCTTGACAAAAGAGCCAAGTTTGTTCGGGCCCTGTGCCGTCTTGGCGCCGCCAAACAGCTCGCTTCTTACAGATAATGAACCGCCTCCAGGAACTCGACCCCCGTGTTTTCCGTGCGACCAATAGGGAGAGAAGATTTTAAGTTCGTGGAGACGGAATAGCATTGCCGCATGTCGCGAGCCCTCAAATACCTCATGATGCGTCATGGAAAAGACGAGAGCGGATGATGGGAAGAGCAAGACGAACTGCGAATATTTCGCCCCGTTCGTCCGGTCTGTTCGGCACGAAATACCCGAGGGCACCGCCCGTATAGGAAAGAGTTTATATTTTCAACACTTTTACTCCGTACAGATGATAAGAGCGGGCAAGATCTCCGGGAGACATCGATTTATCAGGGTCTCGTGGTTCCACGGTTGGTATTTCTATAGCTGTGTGGAGTAGTTATTCGCGCCGGCATCATGTAAAGTGACAGAGAATTGAGACTTTTTAGAAAAAGTTCAAGGGTCCGGGGTTCATCGTTCAGACACCATCCTCTCTCGAACTCCCAAGAACGTACTCCGTACACGAATGCAAGAGCGCATGTCGTTTGTGACTCGGGGAACAGCCGAGCCAATTCGCTTTGCGAAAGCCAGCCACTCGCACCGTTTTGGACAAGTAGACGACTGCCCAACAGGGCAACTATACTAGGTGTTGTGGCGTGCAGCTTAACTGGCGCAATCGATCCGTACATGACGAACACGGTGATCCGTAATCAATGATAAGCGGCGGTCGCCAGACGGAGAGTGAAATTGTCAGTATCACTCTAAGTCTTGAATATGCCGAAGGCACAAGAGACAACCACCAGACTGTCGGTTGCACTGAGTAAGAAGCACTTGGACAGGATATTGGCTGGCCAGCTTTTTGCGAATCTCGTTATCTTGGCCCGGCACCCTCAGAGGCAAATCGGACCCACCGCTTATTGACTACCACGAGAACTAGGACATCACATGCATCCAGATACAACCAAGCCTGCCAAGGGCTCTACTGAGTCCGATGTAACATGCTGACAAGCGCCGCGGGTCAGCACGGTTGCTTCTGAGAAGCGAGTCCTTGAACGCGGGGCACGTCTAGATAGTTGATCGATATGCAGCAAACGGCAATTTCTTAGAATCCTTGACTGCGTATTCCATGTGGAGAAAATCAATGCCGGACTTGCCAAAAACAACTGGACTGACTGTCTGTAGCTACTAACGACTAAGCGATGCACGGTGAAAGTTGACTTGATCGGTTTTCTTTTCCTTTTTTTTGTATGTGTATGATGTGTTTTATTTTGCTCCTTTTCTTTTGGTCAGAAATCGGATTATACAATCGAGTTGCAATAAGGAGCAACGAGAGAATACCAAGACAAGCTACTGTCGCAAGTCTCAAACTAAAACCGTCCAATGGTGGTTTCATTCCGTCGGGATTATTTCGCGGTACTACCAGAGGGGTCCTGAAAAAAGACGACTTGAACGGTTACATCATCTCGGATGTATCGGCTGACGGGGCTGTAAGCGGTCACGGAACCACAAAACAGAGTGTGGCGGTTGCCGCCCAATGCATTTCTTCACAAGGCGGACGGCCGCATTGTCAAGATCCTCAATTGCAAAGAACTCGGGAGTCGCTTTGTAAGATGGCCATTCGTCCTCTCCAACCGTCGGAACCGTCCTGGCGTCGATAATGGTCTCGGGCTTGCCAGCTTTTTGAGCAGCTAACCATCTTGAGACGCATTCTATAGCATTATTTTTGGAAATTACATCCCACAATCCATCCGAAGCCAGAATGACAAAATCCTTTATGGCTACCTTGCGAGTGGTAACTTCAGGCTCAGCGCTCATATAAGACGGCGACTTATACTTGGGGCGACCGGCGAAGCCGTAGAAGCTCCCCTGGAGTGACGCCACGGCGTCTTTGGCCAGCGATGATCCCCAAATCCTCGAGTTATGGCAATGCCCAACAGATGTCCGGTTTTGGGATCGATCATGTCCCCAATCTCACCGGGGTGAGCCTTGTCGAGACGCCTCACCTCGTCCTGGTTAAAGCCGGTTTGATCCTTGCTGAGAGCTACAGCGCTGTAACTGCCAGCCTCATCAGACCAAGATCCGAGTACGGCTCGAGAGTCGCCAGTCACAGCAGTTCTGACTATTGAAGAGGTCGGGTCGTACATGGACAGCAGAGCACAGGATCCCGACACGGCGGGAGCAATGGCGGCGAGGACAGCGGCGGAACCCGGCTCCGCGGTTGCGGCTCCTTCAGCAGCATACTTGGCCTCGTTCATGGTGCGAGCATCGAGGTTACTAAAGGCCGACTTGATCGCTGAGTCAGTCAATGACGTCGGGGTTGGCTAATGCTGCAATGCGGCTGACGGCGTGGGAAACATAGGGAATCAGCGCCTGTTGTCGGACTGCTGACGTCGCCCAACCACTTAATGGGGCCAATAAGGCAATAAGCATAAGCAACTCAGGATTATCGTGATGGGCCGTGGAGGTGGGGTTTTCGAGGGGAGAGGGGAATCTGAAGACACTGGTACTCACGCGTGACCGTCATATACACCAGCATACAATGTTTTGCTGCCTCCAACCCCCTTCCCGACAGCCACGGCCCATTCATCCTCGACGGGGTTATTGCTGGCTACACGAACGACGTCGATTCTTCCGTTGCCGTTGTTTCCGCCAAAGGTGAAGCTGGTTGCCTGTTGTCGAGTTTTGGCGTCTGCCGCTTTGAGACTGTGCACCTCGACAGGGGACCTGACGGGAATGTGGTCCTCATCTGCAGGCTCGACGAGGGACGGCACGCTGTGCAATGGCCCGGACTGACTGAGGAAATAGAAACCGTAGGCTCCGGCGATCAAGGCTCCAAACGTCACAGCAATGGTTCCAGGCGAGTCTCTTGGGGGCTGAGAAGACGACGAGTAGGCCTTGGTGTTGAGGCAGGAAACACGCGGATGCGGGGGGTGCTTGTGGTGCGTCGAAACATGATGATGAGCACGCAGAACAACGGGAGGGTTACACTGTCGGCCCAGAGGCTGGGTCTAGGTCTGTCTGGAACGCATACGAAAAAGCTGGAGCTGGTAGTTGAGATCGGGCACGCAATTGCAAGTGTTGAGCGCCGACAGGCAAGGGGAATATTGAAACGTCAACTGCACATGTGAACGGTTCCAAGGTTTGGAAAGACCAGACGCTAGAAATGGCCGTTGACTTGACCAGTTGACGTCTCAAGCTAGCGCGTTGCAGTGTCCTAGGTGCTGCCCGACACCAGTTGACAGCGATCCGGAGCCCGGACGCCGTACATGTAGCGCATTTAGTGCATCCAGATGTCCATTGTGGTGCCAGCATTTAGTGTGTTGGGTGTCTGGTGCCTCTCAGCGCTTCGGGTCTGGTGCGTTCAGGCCCTAGTTCGCCCAGCTGGCACCGTTGACCAGTTGACAAGCCGAGTCCGCTGTGACCCGAGCCTAGCGACCAGTTGACGTCAACTGGTGCTGGTGCCAGTACATCAATCTTGGGGCAACCTTGAATATCGGCAAACTAAAGTACCAGACCTCAAAGTACCTCCCGAGGTTCTCTCCGCCCTGACGCCACCTGGTCGTGTGTCGTCTTGCTCAATCCGTCCTTCAACGTCTCCTTTACTATCTGTAGATTAATTTCCATGCCATCTTGGACCCTCTCACCAAGAGGCCTTTCACAAACTCTCACCTACATGAACCTGACTAGTCTGGGGGATGACGAGGTGTGCTTCTAGCACCAGGCACCCTGCCACGCTGCACCACTCCTGCACCCTTGCACCAAACCAGACACCACCGGCGACTTGTGGCCCCGCAGCCGCCCTCGGCCTTGAGCGGTGGCCGAGCTACCGGTTCTCAGAATCCATCTCCCGCATTTCCCTTTTCTCTTCACATTTTGTATCCATGGCCATAGAAGCCTTCTATTATCAATCGTAATATCCTGCCCGACTTACACCTGCCCAACATAGTATCCCATGGGTTCCACGACCCACTGCCCAAACGAGCACAAGTAAACTGTCCCACTCGCCCGATTAATGAATTTATTCTGCTGCGTAGGAGCCCCCGCGGCCATGCCAGTCAATAATACAACTTGTCCGGTTAGTTACCACGACGTAGCCGCACCGTTATTCTGATGACTATGAGGCATTTCCGATGGAGTGGACAGCCCTAAACATGTTCTAAAACTTAGCAAGGTTTATGATTTAGTTCGAGATACGGACATTAGCCGGTCTTGATTCGGAAACCGGTATTGACCGACTGCAGGGTAGCTCGAGCCTCGACCAGACATGTCTTAACAGCTGCCAGCCAGCCAGTTTCGTTTCTATCTTATTTCCTTCTCCCCGCCTCTCTCTCTCTCTTTCCCCCCCTTTGCTCAATAAACATCTGTTCTTCTTTTCCACTCCTTTTTTCCCGACGCTATATTTCAATTGACCCACATCTCTTTCCAAAAAGTCCCCTCTAATGCCCTCTCGTATTTGTCCCCCCGGGGGAACCTGCAACGGCCATCTCCGTTGCAAAATTCAAGACACAAAATATGTAAAGGCGTAGTACAGTCGCAGCAATTATGGAACATTCTAGAACCGCATCTACGTCTGCATCTCCCGAAACATCATTATCCATCCTCCCGCGTAAGCACTCTCCATCCCGAAAACTTATGCTTATCCCACCACCTTGCAGCCGCTACCCGCACAACCGCGTTCCCCACGCAAAGCACCAATTCTCTGTCACAACCCCGTCCCTAATAAAGCTCTCTGTACGAACGAACGGTCCCTCCACAACCCCGTCACGACATTTCTCCGAACAAAAGAGCCCCTTATCCGGAACCGGAGGGGTGTACATATCTTTTTCCCCGCCGGAACTGTGTCCCGCGGCTCGCCCGTGTTGCACAAACGGCTTGCGATGCTACCGCACGTGCCCATAAACGTCTGAAGTGAAGAAAAAAGAAAATTAAATCCCGGCATCTTGGTGTAAATTCCACCGACACTCGGCGATGTGTTACACTGTGCTACCCCATAATCGGACGGCCATGTGGTCACCGAACTGTTGGCCGAAAAATGCGACGGTCGGGGGAAGTAGAAAGGGGGGTTTACTAAACGTCAGGGAGATACGGCAAGAAAATGACATGTCGGAGACTCCGCAATTGGCTTCCTGTCCCTGTTTACGAATCCTGATGTTAATGATACCATAGCAAAGCTAAATCACTTGATCCAATAATTGACAAACTCCAATGGCATCACACCGTCTGTCCAATGCCCTCACGGTCATCACGATTGCGCGGACTCCCATAACTGGCCGCCCTGGCCGCCTCGACTTTTGCCGTCGTCCCCAGTCCGCCTTGCCATATTTGCTGCAGCTCCGTCTCTTCCCATGGAGGTTCACTCGTATTATTTGTGTTGACACTATATTCGCTTCTCTGCCATATTTGTAATGTTGATGCTGGTTTTGATACATTTGCCGCAATGTTCTCCGTGCTTTCCGATGACTTGGGCTTGCTATGCCGAATGGCCTTGTCGACGGCTACTTTATGCTTGTTGGCACCGCGGTCTTCCCTATGCTTGCCGGATGGGGCGCGCTTTGTTTTGAGTATGCTGCCAACGAGGCTGCTGAATGCCTCGAGCTGGAGTGCTTTTCGGGGGAGCGCGTAGCAGTGAGGCACGTTGGTGACAATGATGGCGGTGCTGGCTTCGCGAACGTACCAGTAGATCCAGAGGATGCTCTCAGGATGTGCGAAGCAATAATACCTGTTTAGCACAGCGGCAAGAATCTAGCCAATGGTCAGAACGAACGCTCGTATCGTTGAGCTTGTAGCGACGTACGACAAAGATGCCCAAGCCGAATATCCCACAAATGGTCGCTTTTCTATGGCTGGTCAGCGCCGATTGTAATTATTCAAGGTGGGGGAGATTACGCACTTCTTCCAGGGCAGCTGTGACTGCAGCAACATTGATATGGGAGCGGCGAGCATTAAAAGATCAGATGAAATGTTGAAAGCAAACGACATAATCAGATGGTTCTGCGATGTCGTACAGCCGGCTACATCCCCATGGCAACGCTCAATGTTAGTGCTCATTGCTCGCTCCGAGAATATGACTCGGGACGTACGTGTGTTTCCCGCGAAGACTCGAAAGTAATTGCGAAATGGTTGACACCAAAAGCCGAAGAAGAAGGCCTCAGTAACGACCCATCCCGCTAGAACGTAGCCAAGCAACAGCTTGACATGCAACTGTCGCTTCAATCCCGATCTGGGTCCAAACTCTTGTCAGTAAACAACTGCACCCTATGGCATTGAATGTTGTCGCAGTGCTTCCTCACGTCAACTTCATGAACAACAAACACATGCACACCTTGCATAGCATTTGCAAAACCACCATGGACTCCTCAATTGTAAACGTAATCTTGCTTCCGTAGACACGATCACGCATCTCGGCTCCGCTCATGCCACTGGTGCCCGTCGACGGCAGGATATTGGTGTGGGGGTGCTTTTCTTGAATATTGACCCATACAATGACATTGGTGTAGACACCCTGTCAGCTGTCAGTGTCAAAGTGCGGGAAGATCGCCAAGTGTCAGCGCCACATATCGGCTTCCTCCGCGAGTGGGTCAAGCGGCGGACATGACTTGACTTGACTTTTCATTTTTGAATCAAGACGTATTTCCTTACAAAGGCAAGAACCATGACATAGTCTTCGATCTCGAAATACCTAACTCCACCCAGTCGGATAGACCTCGAGACGCTGCATCCTAGTTAGTCCTGGTGCTGACACTGACACTGCTGAAGATAGAGTTTTTGGCACACGAAGCACCGAGCCATATCCGCGGAATAATGCACGTACAAACGGCAGAGTGTGAAGAGGCTGGCGAAGCCATACCATGTCCACGACTCGACTTGCCTCGAGTCGGCCATCTTTTGCAGCTAAACGTTCGATCTCCGACCCGCGTTTATCCCGTCATTTCTATAACAAAAGTTCTCGAGGCTCGGAGACGCGTGGGGAAAATCTGCTTTCGGTGAGCGGACAAAGTCAGTGGCTGTCGTTACGATGGTGGATTGAAGAAACGAACGCGCCTCCGGCTACGGATATCACATATTCGAGCGGATGAAATGCCGTGACGGAATATACTGTGTCCTGATCAGCGGCGTCCTTGAAGATCTTAAGGGACGTAACAGCTTAATGAAATCAACCAGGCACTGGGCCATTCGAGATTTACTGATCCGGCCCCTTTAGCCCAACTTGTCTCTCCATGGCACCCATAGCGGAGTGTCCTTGAGGCTGTCAAATAGCACAACAGCTGGTGGGTGACACCGAGACAAGAAATTGAACGGTATGACTGAGTATCATTCGTTGGCCCGAGTCAAACCCCTGGCATAGCGGCATTTTATTGGCAAATTAGAAGAAAGGTGGCGCTCCATGTCTTGCATGGTCTTTTCCTTTGGTACTTGTGCAAGTCGTGTTCGGTGCCCAAGCAAGCACCTTCTACCAGGCAATATTGTTCTTGTCCAGTGTGGCCTACTTCCAGGTTATTGTTTTGCCCTAATGCTCGGGTGTGAAAATCGATGTCTTGTGTAGAAGGCAAGGTAAGGCTGGGAAGTTCTCGGGCAAGTAACATTAGGGACCTCGGCGTGAGCGATGCCGCACGCATCATCTCAGCTGACAGATTGGCTGCATTACCGGCGCGCATTTGAGCATTTTACTCTCGGCCCCCATGTGAGGGCCATGTCTCACGGCAGTACGAATACGACTCTGCTGGCGCGTGGATCTGTTTGTCCGTACAAGACTTGAAAGGCTCGGACTCGGATGCCTAGATGGGTGCATCTTTTTAGAGCTCAAGTTGCCATGGTATTTCTTATCTGGTGTAGCTTTGTGCATTTTTATCACTTCAGCTTTACGCTTTCACCTCTCTCCGACGTAACCAGCAGGATATGGTATGCCGGGTTTGTTGGTCTCGACGCATACCCAGTTTGGATAGACTGAAGGTGAATTTTGTGCTGAACAGGGGGAGCTGTGGAAGGTCTGCTCGACTCGAGAGTGTGGCTCCCTATGTTAGACGTAATCGTGAGTCCTATATCGCTCACCCTTGCGATAAAATGAGGTCACAATAATGTTCATGACTCAGTTTGCCTCGATAGCGGGTGATGACGCCCATGATCAGCGGCGAGCTGAAATTCCCAGTGGCGAGTTCCATGAGTGCGTAGCGAGTAAGCCAACCGATAAATTGAATCTAGTTGCTTGGCCGGATCTATCCTATTAATATGACTTGAAGTAGGAAGTAAGATATGGATTGTCAGAGGAGTTCAGCTATGCCTAATTGACGACGCACTCGTCACTTGGAACATCAATCAGGCCACAGCCGACGTCTTGCGTATAGCTGAATGGCGTTACAACGCTGGCCGCAACTTCAACAACAGTAAATAATAGGCCAACAGAACAGGACGTATCAGTTCCGTCAGTCGCTGTCTCGTTTCTGGGGAATTGACGCCGGCAACGCCGGAATAACACTATCCGTCCGGTGAATGTCGATGGTAAGCTAGGGTTTAATGATCAACAAAACTTTCGTCATACCTATCTGGACCAGCATCAACGGCCAGCCAGAGGCTTCCCTATATCCATCACTAGGATCCCGAAGCTAGAATTTGATCCCTTCCGATTGAAGATCGCTGTAACCTAGAGCAGTCAAGCCGGATTAAGGCAACTTGGGCAATGATAAATGGGTTTTCAGGCTGTTCGTGTCCTCAGTAAGACGAGAGAACCCCTCTTAAACTATCGAACTTGATGTATTGGGGGAGGGGAGTTTATGGAAAACAACCTTGCCAAGGTTGGCATGACGGATCTTGATGTTAGCTGTAGTTCGTCTCAACTTACTACTGTTATAAATGGTCTGTCTGCTACTCCGTAGCCAGGGGATGGATCGGATATAAAAGTCCACTCCATGCGACAAAGGGCCCGGCTCTAGTTTATCCACAGTCCGCATCCGATGTCTGGCAAGCCAATCCCAAACTAGATGAGCCCACGTGAAGCCAATGTTTTCCACTGTTAGATTATGAGGAGCTGGGCGAAAACTTCAGCCAGTCCTTCCAGGCTAGCAAGCTCACTCGCCCGTATCGAGGGCTGCCTGTGCCTGGCCTGTGAGGCCGTAGTTTGCGCCACACCGGCCATTTGGGGATGACATTTGACGTGTAACAAGTTATCACGAAAAAGAACGCGCTCTAATCGAATAGCAACTATACCCCTTATTTTCCGTTGACACAAATGAACGTGCCAGCAAGGTAGGGCTTTGCTGCCAACACTCCAGGCTCAACTCACGGCGCGTAATAACTCAATCGTATGGAATTATTGCAACACGGGTCCTTTATTGCGTAGTAGTAATATCAAACACCAGTTGATCTTTCTCGGACATGGACGCTCAAAACGGTCACATAGTTAAACGTTATTTGCAAGGGCCCGGCTGAGCCATTGATAAAAGCGGCGTCATGAAGTAGCGAATGGGATGATGGGATCGTTTTGCAGACCGCTACTTGAGCACGAACTAGGAATGAAAAGCATTTGTCAAGCCTTGGGTCATTTGTCCATTCGTCGACGACTGACGGGATAATTGACGCTTTTGAGACATGGACGTAGCGTTGTAAGCTTTTAATCTGTTAGCGTCGGACACGCGCCACCTTTGGCTCACTTGCCTGTGACTGACTGCCATCAATGGTTCCTTTTTCCTGGTGAGTTTGAACTTCCTTCTGTCCGCCATCTCGCTCCCTAATTCGTCATGATGAAGCGTGGAAGACCGGAGTTACGTCCATTGTGTTCTTTTTTGAAATCTTCCGCTCCGAAAAGGGAATGCTCACGTGCTTGAGGGTCGGTCGCTCCTGCCCCTTCACCTGGCTGCATCTGAGTGCGTCCCGGATGCGCCGCTCATTTTCTCTGCAACGCAACCCCATTGAGATCTGCGTTATTGTCTATACTACCTCATCTCACAGTCTCGCGTCTCAACTGGGTAGTGGACAAGTGGACAGTGGGCAGACAAGCAGAGACTACATCACCATGCCATCCAGCTCGCCACCATCCACACCTGGCGGGGGCGGCGAGATCGAGAAGCACACCACGCTTCGTCATACGAAGCTGAATAGTGACGACTTGAAGGATTCGTCAAAGCAGATATCTGCCGATTATGGTGATACAAAAATTGATTTCATCCAGCAAAAGAACCCTGTCTTGAGGTTCCTTGCGAATCTCGAAAGTCGAATCGACCGGTTTGCCAAGTTTGAGGCCATGGGCGTGGCGAGGGTTCCAGAGGACAAACGCAGACCCCCGCAAATACTCAACGTATGTATGTAATGTGGTAGGGCGTTACGGGCTATGGCGCTAATATGGCTATCCAGATGATCTTTTTCTGGTTTTCCGTCTTGTTCAGCCCAACCATGATTCAAATTGGTATTTTGGGTCCGATCCTTGGACTCTCAGTCAACACCTCCATAATTCTCACTATCTTCGCAACACTGTCTGGATCGACTGTGCCCGCCTTTACCGCCACCCTTTCACCCATGACCGGATTACGACAAGTGGCAGTGTCGCGGTATTCCTTGGGCCTTTGCGGGTCAAAGTTTGCCGCTGTGCTAAACGTCGTTATCAACATTGGCTATGCAACGATTGCCGCTATTCTTGGAGGCCAGCTTCTCCGTGCCGTGTCAGGGGCTAGTCTGGCACTGGTTGTCGGCATCGTCATCGTCATTCTTGCAGCCTTTGTAGTGTCTTTTCTAGGCTACGGAATTATCCATCATTACGAAAGATATGCCTGGTTCTTTGCTTTTGTACTCATCTGTGTTCTCTACGGACAGTCAGCCAAGTACTTTTCCCCGACACCAGACGCCGGTCTTAGCTCTGGAATTGATCTTAGCGGGGGCTGTTTGTCGTACTTTGCCATCATCTTCGGCGTCTGCGCTTCTTGGTGTCCGATAGCGGGCGACTACTACATCCACTACCCGGTCACGACTAGTAAGTGGTTGGTGTTTGGGCTGACATATATTGGCTTGATCGTGCCTACAATATTTGTTGGAATTCTAGGTAATCTCCTCGGGGGGGTTGTTCTGACAAACGAGACACTATCCGACATTCACCGCCAGAGTGGCACTGGTGGTCTCATTCTTGCCATCATGTCACCTCCTGATGCCTGGGGCAAGTTTGCCTGTGTCTTCTTCGCCCTTTCGTTTCGTAGGTTTAATATGTAGTTCAGGCGGCTGAACCGACTCTTATGCTGACTGAATTCAAAAAACAGTTGGCGACACGATTGCAAATATTTACTCCAGCGCGCTTTGCATGCAGCTCCTTGGCAAACACTTTGTTGCTGTTCCACGGTTCTTCTGGTGCACAATTTTGAGTCTCGTCACATTTGCGCTCGCCTATGGTGGCCGTAATGTGTTGGAGGAAATCATCAACAACTTGCTCTCAATTCTTGGGTATTGGACTCTTGCTTTCGCTGTCATTCTCTTTATTGAGCACTTTTATTTTCGGCCAATGATTGGAGGGTATGACTTGACGGCGTGGCAGGACCCAAAACGACTACCGCTGGGCTTGGCCGGTACAGCTTCTCTGCTGATTGGCATCGGATTTTCATTCTTAGGCATGTGTCAAACCTGGGTATGTTACCAAGAAGCTGAGCGGCTGATTTTGGGACTGATGCTAACGGCGCGATTAGTATATCGCGCCCATCGCCAAGAAGATTGGCAGGTATGGAGGAGATGTGGGTGACGAGCTTACTCTTATCTCAGTCACGATTGCTTATCCTGTCTTGAGAACGCTGGAGCTGAAACGGTTTGGACGGTGAATGGGTGCAGAACAGTTGACATTTAGCTGAGCGGGCCCCTGAAGTGGCTTGCCAAGCCTGTCAGAAGAGAGATGAGCTTCGGCCCGACACCATCTCGCGGGTGGGCCATTCAACATGGAATAGTCCGGGGCGTTGTGGCGTCCGGTGGAGATGGCAGGGAGTAATTCATTCACCGAGACCCTGAATATTAATATGATCAGGATTGTACGTACATATTGTATATTCAGGCACCTATGTATTCCGGAGGCCATTGGCAAAGAAGGCCTTTTGTATTTGGGGTTTTGTACCGGATTAGTTTGGATCGCGTCGTGTTAGATGAAATGTCGTGGGAGCCCACATTCGAAGTAGTGAGGCATACGGGGTAGGTAAATCGTTCGCCATTTGAACTACATGGTAGGCATTCATGCGAGCAACGCACGTATAATTATGCTCACTAGAAGCAGCAGGCACCACCAGCTTGATCAGGGTCATATCACAATACAACCTGGGGGCCAACGGCTCTTTTTCCACGTCATAACTTCGAGCCACCCCTCACCACAAGTGCACCAACAATTATCGACTGACCTCCGCTTCCTCCCCTCATCTGGACATTCCACATCATCCAACACTATATCTCATCCATCCTTCCGTATCCCTCAGCTCCTCTGATCTATTATATATTTCAAGCAAAACAAAATGACAACAAACGACAGGTCTCACGCCTTCCACGGCGTCGTCATCCACGCCACATCCCTCTCGAGCCTTGCCATCCTCGATAACGCCCTCCTCATCGTCACTCCCACAGGCCAAATCGCCTCGCTCGAAGCCGACATTCCCGCCGATCAGGTCCCCTCCAAGCTGAACTCGCTCGACTCCGCCTCTTGTCCCATCACATACCTGACTCGTGGGCAGTTCCTCATGCCCGGCTTCGTAGACACGCATCACCACGCTCCGCAATGGCTACACCGCGGCCAGGGCCAGGGCCTCCACATTCTCGAGTGGTTGGACCAAGTTGCCTTCCCCAACGAAGCGCGCTTCGAGGACGCCTCCCACGCGAAACGAGTCTACGGCCACGTCGTGGACGGCATGCTGCGCCAGGGCGTAACAACAGCCAGCTACTACGGCTCCAAGCACGGCGAGGCCACCAAGATCCTGGCAGATACCTGCCTCGCCCGCGGCCAGCGCGCCCTCGTGGGCAAATGCAACATGAGCAGAAACGCACCCGACTACTACCGCGACGCAGACGAGCGCGAGTCCCTCCAAGTCACGCTCGACTGCATCAACCACATCCGGCGCATCGACCCCAAGGGCGAGCTGGTGCGCCACGTCCTCACGCCCCGGTTCGCAATCTGCTGCGAGCCCAGCCTGCTCGCGGGCCTGGGCGACCTGGCGCGGCAGTACCCGGACATGGCTATCCAGACGCACTTCAACGAGTCGGAGCAGGAAAAGAAGGCGACGCTCGCGCTGTTCCCAGACTTCACCAACGAAGCCGACCTCTACCAGCACTTCGGCCTCCTCAACGACCGCTCCATCCTCGCCCACTGCACCATCATGACCGACTACGAGACCCAGCGCCTGGCCGATCTGAAGTGCGGCGTCGCCCACTGTCCCACCGCAAACATGACCATAGGGGGAGGCTTCATGGCCGCCCCCGTAAAGGCCTTTCTGCGCAGCGGCATAAAAGTAGGCCTGGGCACGGACTCGGGCGGCGGCTACTCGTCATCTATGCTCAACGCCATGCAGCACAGTCTCGTGGCGTCGTTTGCACGGGACTACTTGGAGGCGCGAGACGGCACGGCGGCCGTGTCGTTTGAAGAGGTTTTCCACATGGCGACGTTGGGAGGCGCGCAGGTAGTCGGGTTTGGTGGGGAGGTGGGCAATTTCGAGTGCGGTAAGGAGTTTGACGCCCTGGTCGTGGACGTGCGCGGGGAGGTGGGCGGTGTCAACGCGCCGCTAGAGGAGGACGATTCCGTGAGGACGATGCTCGAAAAGTTTGTCATGACAGGCGATGACAGGAATATACGGTTTGTGTATGTCAGGGGAAGAAAGGTGCACGGCGTCTAAGAGAAAGGGCCAGCGAATATGTCAATATACTAGTTGCCCGACATGATATGGGGGGGCAAAAAAAAAGGAAAGAGTGATGGTACCGTTTACAATACAGTTACATTGTACTCCGTATCATCTATCCGGGTATCTGAACGCCTGCATGCGCCGAAAAAAAGAAAAGCAAGCCTATGAAATATCCAACGCCCAAGCTTACTCATCATCTTCCAGGCCATATTCTGCATTCATATCGGGATCATCGTCATATCCACCTTCAAATTCGCCGCCGTCGCCACCGCCAAATTCCTCCCCTTGGCCATATTCCTCCTGCTCTTCATATGCTTCCTCCTGGGCCTCGTCGTCACCGGCAACACTCTCCTCTGGCTCTTCATTCGCGTCATCACCACCCAGCGTGCTGCCAGCGACGCTGGTTTTGCGACTCGTCGCTGCCGATCCGAGACCACCTGCATTGGGAATGTCAAAGATGCTGCGGATGGCATCGTAATTGATTCGCTTGGACCAGGCCCGGTCCTTGACAACATTGATGGCTGCCTCGGCCGCAGAGCTCGCTGGGCTAGTCTGGCCTTCGCCCATCCTGGCGCGCTTCCGACGTCGACGTGTCTGCTTTGGTCTCTCTGCCTCAACCTTCTTTCGAAACAGCTTTTCCTGGTGCTGTCGCAGCCAATCCTTGTTCTGGTTTACCCAGATGAGCTCTTTGATACGGGCCTCATCAGGCGAGAGCAGACAATTCTGCACCTCCGGATCGTCGGCAAATTCGTCCTCTGCGACCTCCTCCGCCATGGATACAGCTTTGGACGGCCGTTGCTGAAGAGCCCAGTGGGAGTGGATCCTGGCGCGCTGTTCAGCGTTCGCATACGCAAGCGCGTGCTCATAGGTCAGCGGATCGTTGAACATTTCTTCGATTTGGCCTTCAAGCTCTCGTTCATCTTCTTCCCAGTTCTCATCGATGGGAAGTCGTGGCTTGGCGCGGCGTTTACCCTTGTTGGAAGACTGCTCGCCCTCCCCTTCTTCCTGGTCCAGCTCGTCGTCAATGGCATCGCCGAATTCGTTGGCCAGGTTTTCTAGGTTCTCCGTTGTTTCGTCTTCCTCCTCGCCCTCGTCGTTGACGCGGATCGTTGGCATGTCTTTTGGGATCTGAGATGGCAGGGGTGGAATGATAAACCCTTCAGTGTCCCGGCGGAATTTGACGGCGGGTGCTTTTGACAAATCGGCGCCTCCTTCCGTCATTCTTCGTTGACGAAAAGCGGTTTCCACGCCTGAGGTAATGTCGCCATCTTCGCCGTTTTCAGTGGCTCTTCGTTTTCTTTTTCGTGACTTGTCCTCCATCATCTTCCTATACTCATCCGACTTCCGATAAAAGGACGGAGGATCATGGGAGCTTTCCAGGAAATCTTGCTTCAGGAAGTCCTCTACTGACATCTGACTCGACTCGGTGACGTTGAACTCTTGGAGTCTGTTCTGGATGGTGTGATTGGTAACCTTGACAATGTAGACAACCTCGCGGACGGTACGTCGGAAGTTGTGCATTCGAGCAGCCATCAGCAGACAAGCGCCGCAGATGCCGGAAGGACGTCGACCCATGACCATCCAATCTCGGCTCATTCGCTTGACCAGTCTGACAGCGTCCTCGGCAACCTTGGCTGTCTCTTGGTGAAACTCCATCTTGGTTGCGAATCGCCAAATAAGATCCTCGGGGTACACTGGAATAAGCCCGTCGTTCCCAATAGGGACAACTTCGTTGAGCTTCTTGAAGATGCGCCCGAGTTTGAACACATTGAGTTGAACCAGATCAGCCAGGTCAATCAACATTACTTTGCAGGGTGGTTCCGCACGGCAAGCGGCATACAGGCAAACGGCGGCGACACTAGCGAGCGTCCGCCCCTGGATGAAGTTGGCGCCGGAAGCCAGCTTGAAAACCTGCGTGCCAGCAGTCACCAGGCTTTCGCTCACATTGAGTTGCTGAGCGTACCCTTGCATGAGACCGCGGGCCTCACGGATACTCTTCTCGCGATCCTCTGTGCCGCCAACCCTCCGGAAGGCCGGGCCCATGCTGCGAACACCGGCTTGATCGGCCCCAATGAAGGAACCGTGGACCACTGCCGCACCCGATGAGGATTCGCCAAACTGGACTTCGGCCACAATGTTGCTGTCGTCGGCGACACGGCCGCAGGTTTGACAGGTACCATCCACGACATTGGGCTTCGGACAGGCCTTGTTAGGACATTGTTGGCGAGCTGGAGCCGCGACGCTGCCGCCTCGATTGGCCGATGAAGATGCTGAAAGTGCCTGTCCCGAGGCCAGCATCTGGCGGCGTTCCTCACGCTCCCTCAGAGCCCGGGCGGCATTTGGCCGAGCAAAGGGAGACTTGGTTGGGCCGCCGCCCGCGCTGGGTTTTCGGCTGGGTGTTAAAAATGAAGACATGAGGTTGAAGTGGTGTATGTGAATGTCGAATAAGGATTGATGGTGAATATGTAGTCTTGGAACCCCCCTCAAAAAAAAAAAAAAGACAAATAAATGTACAACAAAAATCTATCCCAGTAACACAGTACTACTATGGTCAAGACAGAAATATTTTTGGTCCCCCCTCCAAGACCGGACAGATCTGGAGCAATGCCACGAGCAGCAATGGTCTACCATGGGATGGGCGTCGTATGCGTGTCGACGAGTCTGCACAGTGACGATGTGTTCGGCATGGATGGGGTCGAGGAAAAGTGTAGAAAAAGGTTGAGCATGGGGCGACGACTTGATCGTGGGTGCAGCGACGGGGTGGTCGAGTGGGGAGGGACACGAGCAAAGTTTTGCGTCGCGTCAAGCGCTCTTGCTGAGTCACCGCCGACCTCGAGGATTCGAACGCTCTCGAGGGTGACTTATTTTGGGCGCCTGCTGGGGTCGTCAATCAAGACGACTGTGCATTGCTTGACGATTCCAAGGACAAAGGCAAGCTGGCGACAAAGCACTCGGCATAATTTCTGGACAGGCTCGTCAAGATGGTCGCTTGCTCAATCGCTCTGGTCAAGCTGGCAAAGGGACGCTACTGCGTGGTTGCCACCGACCAGACGTCACGTGCCTGAAGACGTCACGTGCCTGAAGGTTCAGGATGACGGCGGGGGACACGGTCACACGGGCACGACAGCAAGTTGAAGGGTGTAGGGTTGGTTGTCACGGACTCGAGCTGTCCTGGCTGTGAATATGCAAGCACATCTATTGTTTGTGGTTCCAGCCATGGACTTTTTTCAAACTTTCAAATGTTGCATGAGCATATGTGAGAATCTGGTGCACATGTACTGGAATAGCTGACGTAGTTGACACCGAGTCCGAGGCTGGTACATATCTCATGGCAGTTCAGCACACAAGCTGCTTTACGTCAAATTACGTGCCCGTGCCCATCTTTATTTGAATCGTAGTATTTGCATTACTGCTCGCCATTGCTCCCAAAGACGGAGCACAGACCGTAAAAGCCAACCCAGTCAAGCCCATTAGTTCCAGTGGACAGTAAACTCGGTAAACGTGGCCTCCAACTTGTCCGCCGTGTCCTTGAAGGGCCTCGCAACGGCGGCGGCAACCTCGACCTCCCACCCATGGCCGGCTGCCGTCCCAAACGGCCAGGTAATTTCCCTCAGGGGCGCCTTCTTGCCATCCTGGTCGATGTGGTACACCCACAGCGTCATGCCGGCCCCGTCGTCGCTGCGCTCGACAGAGATGGTGACGGAGCGGGAGGCGTTGCGAATCTCATGGCCGCAGGGGGCGTCTGAGACGCTCCAGTCGGAGTAGTTGTCGGTGCAGACGGTGGACAGGCGGGGCGCGTCGTTGAAGAGCTCGATGCCCGACTTGATCCATTTCCTGTCGGCGCCGTTGGTGAACTTGAAGAGGATGCCGGCCTGGTCGAACTGGTGGGTGTATGTGGCGAGGAAGGTGATGCTGGCGGATTTGAAGCCGAGAGTTGGGCCCTTGGAATGGACGCGATAGGGGGCTGCGATAAATCAGACAAGATTCTCTCTTTCTCTCTCTCTCTTTTTCGAGGTTTGCAAGAATAAAATTGTGCGTGGTCTGGTGATGACATGGTGGGAGAGACGAGGAAAGTGGTTTTACCGGTAAAGACGTCATGCGTGGGAGGCTTCTTCCAGATGTCGGTGTTGGCATCGGCCGCAAAAGTAAGCGGTGTGTGCATTTTGATATTTCTTGACAGTATATAGTTATATGGGTTGTATATGTTTTCGGGCGTGTGATTTCATCCCACTCAGCTTTAAAGAATGGCAGCCGTGGTATTTATACCGTGTCAAGTCCGTTTGTATCGCGGAGTCTCGGCCACGCCAGAACTATTGACCGTCAATTCCACCCTCCTCCGCAATGGGCTCTTCTTCACAGGTCAAAATAAGCTACTAGCCCGCGTTGCCTAACTGGTGGCTAGTCGAGGCCGTGCATCGAGTCTATGGGCCCCCAGACCCTAGTCTCCCCGTGTTCTCACCATTATTAATGACTTTTATGGAGTTTTTCATCAAGAAGCTTGTAAGGAAACGGCTACTCCGCTCAACACATGCAACATGGATGGTGGGTCGACCTGGCTCGAAGAAGAATGGATGCATGGGCCATCTCGGCGAGACGAATGCGGTAGTAGTTGGAACGAGCATGGACGAGGCGAATTCGGAATGCACGACAAAAACAAGGCTCATGAGCAAGTCGCAACGCAAAAAGTGGACAGAGAAAAGGCCAAGAACTGGCTGTTCTTAAATCACGATGACGGCAAAACTTGGCATTCACCACCATCAGACCAACTACTCCATCACCAGCCCCTTCATGCCTCCCCAGCTCGCGGCCCAAGCATCGGAAAAGTAGTACCTCCTAGGCCGCCACTGCCCCGTCCCTCCCTTGGGAAACACGCTCTTCATGTTCCTGAGATATGTCGACGTCAGCCTCCACAGCGGCCTGGGCTCCATCGTCTTGGCCTCGGACGCGTCCATCCGCGGCGCGGCACAAGTCAACCTCTGCCGCTGCAGCTCCTTCATCACCCGGACCATGACGGTGGCGGCGCAGTCGGCCCCCAGGGTCCACGAGTTCTCGGCATATCCAAACGAGAAGACGAGGTTCGGCACGTCCTGGAGCATGCACTGTTTCCAGGCGAACCTGTCGGCCAGGTCGACGGGGAGGTTGTTGACGGAGAACTGGATGCCGCCGCCAAACTTGAGCTGGATGCCCGTCGCGGCAACAATGACATGGGCCTTTAATACTTGGCCCGACTGCAAAACGATGCCGTCCTCGGTGACGGTGTCGACGTGGTCCGTCACAACACTCGCCTGCCGCGACCTGAGCGCGGAGAAGAAATCCCCGTCCCTGACGATGCACAATCTCTGGTCCCACGGCCGGTATCGCGGCTGGAAGTCCCTGTTCCAGTCGGCGCCCTTGGGGAGCTGAAGTGAAGTGAAGAGGCGCAGCAAGGCCCCCGCGACGGTGGGCATGTTTCTGCACAGAAACAGCAGGAACTGAGTCTGAACCATCCAGCGGTATCGGTTCAGCCGGCGCGCCATTCTACCGGGGAAGATGACGGCGAGCAGGCGGGCGATTCTGCCGTACTGGTTCAGACTGAAGTACCAACCCGGGCTGCGCTGGAGCATGGTGACGTGCTTGACTCTGTTGGCGACGGCGGGCACGATGGAAACGGCCGTCGCGCCGCTGCCGATAATGACCATTTCCTTGTCGGTGTAGTCGTAGTCTTGGGGCCAGTACATCGGGTTGATGAGTTTGCCGCGGAAGTTGTCCATGCCGGGGATGGCGGAGGGAAACGGCTCCTTGTAGTCGTAGTACCCCGTGCCGAGGAACAGAAACCGACTCCGGAAGAGTTGCGGCCGCTTCGCTCTGCCGTCTTGATCCATGTCCTCGTCGTCGCCTTGCTGCTGAGCCGTGACCTCCCAGCGTTTCTCGTCGGCGTTCCAGTTCGCCGAGACGACCTTGTGGCCGTGGCGAATGTGCTTGGCGATGCCGGCCTGCTGCGCAGACTCAACCATGTACTGCTTGATCTTTCCCCCCGAGGCCATCGACTCCTTGCCCGGCCAGGGATTCCAGCCAAAGCTGAAAGTGAAGACGTCCGAGTCGGACCTGATGCCTGGGTATCGCCAGAGATCCCACGTCCCGCCGATGGCGTCGCGACTCTCCAGGATCACGTAGGAAGTGCTCGCCGGCGCGTCATTCTGCACGCGGTATGCGGCGTTGATGCCAGAGACGCCTGCTCCGACGATGACTACGTCAAAGTCGGAGCTGCTGGGCAAGGCTTCTTCTGACTTGGCGTCCATGGCCTGTCTGCACCATTACTGCCCGACGTGAACTCGCGGCAAAGGGTTGGTGTGTTTGGGATTGGGAAAAAGAAAGGGAGGCCTTGTTACCACACACATTTTGTTGTCGGTCTGCTGCTGCGTGTTCTCGGCCGCTCGGATTGGCACATGCGAAATAAAGAAAAAGGGATTTTGATCCAGCCGAGCTGTCTCCGACATGGTCGACGTCAGAATGAAGATGTCGAGCGAAGGCGTCGACGAATCAAGCCACATTGCCCTTCGGTGAAGATCAGAAGAACCCTTCAACTCCACTTCCCCTCAATTCTAGTCTGTTTTTGGGCCATTCATGATGAAGGGTGAAGAATGAAAGATGCAAGACTGCCTGGATCAAGGTAGACCCCCTCACGGGACGTGATATCGAGACCCCGGCATGTTGAGATTGCTTGTCCTGGTGTAGAGAATATCCTGTCAGCCCATCCCTTTGAGTGTGTTAAGGTCCAAGTGAGGTATCTGACCCACTTTTCTGCGATACCTAACAGGTACGTCTTTGGTGACAATATCAGCTATGATAGGAAGATGTAGCTCTTTGTAAATTTAATTATTACTGGTACTCATACTATTATATTACTTCTTGGGTGAGAATTTGTACCGTTCAACACGGCTTTTCTCATTGGCCAGAACCCCTGCCCGGTACGAAAAATGGACCTCAACACATTCAAAGGGATGTCTAATAAACGCGGGGTGAGAATGAAACGAGGGTCGTTCGTGTTCCTTGAGCGTTCGTGGGAATCCACTCGACTGCATGACATGCTAGTTTGATGCCATTTGCCAAGAGAAGAGCTACATTATCGTAATCTGCCCGTATCGATGATGGTCCATCCATCGCGAAGGACCAACGCCGCTGGCCGTTTCCAAGACTACACGGTATTAACTAGTATCGGGGCCGCAGCGCAACTCTACCAGCAAAGGTACATCGTCTTCACCACTTCTTGTCCAACATCTATGAGCCAGGACTCCATGCACTGCGGTGGAAATATGCTTTTGCCGCTCCTTGCTATGTCTCACAGAGACCAGTCGCAGCCTTGTGATACCTTGTAATCACCGCCTCAGCAGCCTACCGTTGACCTTTTGTCTCTGTGCAACCAGACGGTTCTCCACCAGCACTGAATAGCAAGATCCGCATGCCTGGAAGTCGCTGCCAAGTAAACCCGTTGTAATAGCCCGTAGAAAGAGCCTGGTCGCACTCTGAATTGTGGTACTGGCAACAGTTGCAACATCCATAGTTTTCTTGCGGCTCGCAACCAAGTAAGAAGCTCCCGGTAGGATGTAAAAGGTCCACGGTTACCCGTGTGGGTTGCTTACCCGTGGGCTTTAGGTAGGTTTAGGTAAGAAAAAAAGACTTAAATAAATTTATAAGGGAAAATAAGATACTTATAATTATTTATTAAAAATATTAAGTGTTTTTAGGTACTTAAATAAAACCTATATAACTTACTTTATACTTTAAACTTAAGACTTATTATAAATATAATTAAAT